GTTGAAACTATTAAAATTCTATGAAATATTTATAGACACTGTTTCTCTCTCAACGTCTCTGTACATTAATTTTTAAGTTCGCAAAGTCAATTTTTACTTATCTCTTTAGACAATAAAATACGTCTGATTAAAACATAGGGTAAAAAGGAACTAAAAAATTAGGAAACTATCGATAAAATGACGGATTGGAAAAGTTTTTACTATTTCATCATCTCAACCATTTTGAAACTGTAGTAATGATCGGACATTCTCTACCCAACTGAAATATTTTCGACATGAGGTGAGGTGTTCGACATGAGGTGTTGTAGCACCTTGGATTCTTCAAATGAAACACTTGGTATATAATATTATTTTTGGAATCTACAACAAAAACACAACTTTTCTTTGATATTTCCCTATACCTATCTGTTTTCGAAATATAAATTAATTTAATTTTTTTTTTCGCAAAATCATGACCTCAAAAAATACTGATATCTTCGAATTAAGGAATACTACGATACCAAATTTTGGTTTGAAGTTAGGTTTTACTTGGAGGCTCCTCACACATCAGCGTAATCTCCGTTACTTCAATACATGGTGGTAAAAAAACAGTTTTTTCGTTTGCTTGAAAGTTGATTATTTCAAATAGAACACCCTGTGTATTATTACAAATTCGGAAAGCTGTGGAAATTTGCTTTCTTTCTATGTATATCATGCTTATACCTAACTAGTTAAGTTTCTTTCTCTACTACTTGGAATATTTATTTGTGAAAATTTTCCTTCAGAATGGTATTCCTATTCGGAATTTTGTAAATAATCCATGATTACTACTTGACAGTAACGTTGTGAAAGTTTCAAATACCTTCAAAACGATGGAACAAAAGTATTAAAACAAAGTTCTTATGATAATTTATCTATTATTTTTGAACAGTATGATAAAATTATCAGCAGGACATGTATAAAGTTCAATGAAAGGTATCCGAATCTACCGCAAACGAACCTCAAGAAATGAATACGAATTCATAACAATTTCAATGCATTTGGATCAACTTTTAAGGATTAAGAAACTTGCCTCAACCAGTAACTTCTGAAGACTAGCAGATTAATGTCTTCAAAAAAAGTTATCGGGTAATTGTTGTGAATTCCAAAAATAATATCACATACAGAGTGTTCAATACACGAGTATACATATGAAGTGGAGTATCTTAGCGACTGCACAAATGTAGAGGAAGAAATGGATTAATGGGGTCTCTCTAGAAGCGCGAAAGCTTGGCAAAGTAGAGTTTTGATTATTGACTGAAAGACCCCGTTAATCCTTTTTTCTGGCTAGCTGTGATAAAATGAGGCACATACATCTGTTCTTGTTATTCAATCGATTTATCTGAAACTACTCATTTAACCAAAGACCACGAAAGTAATGTTCTCGGAGTTGTAGGTACCTTGGTGATTTTTTTGAATTTTCTCCAGAGAATGTATCTACAGGAGACTAAAGAACAAAGTTATAACTTTTGTTCAAAAGAACAAAGTGATATCTCATTTGTATCCTTTAAAAGAATGAATTTTCTATTCCTTGATATAGATAGCGAAAACCAAAAATGTGATCCATGATGTTCTAAAAAGAGTCCGCGTTATAATATTTGATTTTAAAAATGATGCGATTTACTTTATAACAAAACTGTTGCTGCGTACTTAACGTAGACATCAATACTGCTTTTTAGATCAATTTGCAATCAAACATTTATTATTCACATGAAGATCATAGCCAAATCAGAATTATTTCTTTTATATATCTATCAAAATATCATATCCATTCCAGAATTATCAGGTTTTTATCAATGCTTTTTAGATCAATTTGCAATCAAACATTTATTATTCACATGAAGATCATAGCCAAAGCAGAATTATTTCTTTTATATATCTATCAAAATATCATATCCATTCCAGAATTATCAGGTTTTTATCAATGAGAGTAAAGTATCATTTCTTCATTAGTGAAAGATCATTTTTAAGTATGAACGCATTGGGTTTTGTTTTTATTATGATTCTCAAATCTACAAATTGAAATGTTGGTATAGTAAAAGCCAAAGCCAAATACAAGATAAATATGAAAAGAGTTTGTTTTCAAAATCAAAAGTTCACAGGTGTAAATCAGAAATGTAAGTCGTTAAAGGTGTAATTTTCTGCTGAAAACACCCTCTCAACAGTAACCTGCACAACAGGTACCATGTGCACAATTAAAGGTGATTTTATATCAAAAATGTGTATGTATATGAATTCTGATATTGATTTACTTTTGTGTAAAGTGATTTTTATTTTCTGAACAAACAAATTTTAATTCATCATTATTTATGTAATACATCACTCAATTAGTGATCATTATTTTTGAAGGAATCAATGAACATCATAGATCGATTTGATCTGTCATGAATAAATGAAGCATCATTTTCAAATTAGAAATGAATAATAATTATTAGATGATTTTTTTGAAAAAAATAATTATCGATTCCAAACCCTGGTTGAAATAAATTTTATTTCGAATAATCGGGCAATTTAGCAAAAAATATTTGATTTAAAAATTTTTCTGAAAATTGCTACAGATACATAACAGGTTCAGTAGTTTTTCTCCTGACTCTTCATATACACATATTTCAAGTGCACACTAACACAATAAACATTTTATCCGTCTTTTCATGTAGGCAAAAAATTTGTTTACTTGTTTTGCACTTGAAAATATTATTTTATATCATAGCATTAGATAGAAATTTTCATTCGTATTTCCATTCAGTGATGCACAAATTGTTGTAGCAAATTGAATATTTTTTTCAGAATGATGATTTATAGTGCTCTTTTGTACAATACTTTATATACTATGACCATTCTGTGATAATCATTTCATTAGTGGATCATTCCAATGGTAGAATTATACTGAAGAAAGTAAATTTCAACCCCAGTCATGTTTATTCACAGCTATGTTGTTTAGTCTGAGGTAATGGAAAATTTCTATAGTAGATACCAAAAATATTTGAGTTGCATATTTAAAGTCATATTGTAGTACTTCCAATAATTCAAATTCCAATTGGAAACAGTCTCTTAGTAGAAAAGGTACACTTGAGTTCCTTGAAGTAGTGTCATTTGATATGTAACAAATCAAAATCTGCTACACAATCCTCTGTCATAATTACCTCATACTAGAAGACCAAATATTGTGTGTGATCAAACTGCTATTAGATGTTTGTATTATCTTGTACTATTTCATTTTCTTATATAAAGTGTTATAAGACTGTATTGTATCTATACATTTACACAAAAACTTTTGTTGTAACAATATATGTATATGTTATTACTGTATGAAATAAAATAATTTCAATAATGGAGATACTTTTAATTCAAAAGCAAATTTGAATCGAAGAGATATTGATGAAAAGCAGGTCATATCAGAAAGGATCAAAAAATTCCAAACCAATGAATCAAATGTCATTCATCGGGAAACTGTTCTTAGTTTGTTGTAAAGATATGTATTCTTAGGTAAACATATTTGATGCAATTATTTTCAATATTTAATTTTAACTAACCAAATTACTACTTGATTCATGTATCAATATGTGTACGTGGTGCATGTGTGTGCGGTAATGTATATTATCTTTTTTCAAAAATTGTACTACATATGTATTCTATTCATGCTTAAATTATTTTCAAGTGAATTTGTATATTAGAAATCCTATTTCAAATAAAGATCTATCTATCTACAACTCTTATATTACGAACATTTTCATTTTAGACAGAGAGAGAGAGAGAGAGAGAGAAAATGCTTTGATGTTCAAAGATACAAAATCTTGTTGAGAAAGTAAAGGCCTAATCTTAAATTGACCTAAAGTAAAATACACACAACAGAAAGAAGAAATGGAACAGTAAGTCGACACCGACATTGTACTAGAATGTCTCATACCTACAATATATAAAATCTAGCACATGAGAAACATCTAGAATGCGTCATTATAAAATTCTTGTAAACTATAATAAGGTTTATCCAACAGAAGAGCTTTTCCTCCCTTTCTGAAATGTTCTACGGAACTTTAATGTGTTATGGTTAGTGATTGAACATCTTGCCTCCTCCATAAATTACTGAATCTTTAGTGTCAGTGATGGGATCAGGAGTTTAATGTTGCCAGCTTGACGGATGTAAGTACTGTCAAATTTGTATGTTTTTTAACTAGACAAAACTTTCCATAACAAACATTGCGAATACTGTTACACTTCATACCTAATAAATGAAAAATTATTTTGTCCAGTTTTAGTTTTTTATCAAGGGTTACATCCCAAGTGCAATGAGTTTAATTAGTTGAAATGTGTGAAAATCCATAATTTTCGAAATTTTCAGAGTTTTTCAGAAGAGAATTGTACTTGTTAAAGTTTGTTCATTACATGGCTGATTGGAATCCCGAATAGCCCTTTAATTCAGGTTTCACCTATGGTACGAACTGTTGGAAAAGACAAGGTAGGATTATTTTGATGCGGACAGTTCTTACTATTCCTTACTATAACAGAAATGGTCATCCAACAGTTTGAATCTTTATATTTCAAACTGATAAATATATCTTTGTGTGTATGACCAAGTAATACAATACTTGAAATTTCCAACTTATTACTTTAGGTATGCAGAAAATCAGTCCAAACCAAAAGATTTCACCCCAATATATAGTCTGACAATTTTCAATTGAAGATAACTCATATACAAATTGAACTGAGAGGGCAACAATATTAAATGTTAGAACTAAATTCTTACCGGGGTCATTTATATTTTCTATGACCCGGGTAAGAATTTAGTTTCAACATTTAACATTGATGCCATTAGCTCTCAGTTCAATTTGTATATGAGTTACCTTCAATTGAAAATTGACAAACATAGGTGAACTAGTCAAATAATCTGCTGTAACAACAGAAGTCTGAGTAGGAATTGTGACATAGCACAGTCAACACAATTATAGAACTTTGAATAAAGCTCAAAAAATTAAATCACTTGTTCACTTATAAGTACTTACATTACATACACCCCAAGCTACGGTACACTCTTCACTGGTAGCTGAAGCTTGATTTGCTTGACATTCAATACACAAGTCCATAATATGATTACGACAAATAGCACAATTATCCACGACAATATCTGAAATAATTGAGGTTTAGTAAGGAATAGAGAACTTTGTAACGAGAACTTACCCCATGCCCACAATGCCACAGCATTCCACTGAAAAGGACAAAAACATTTTTTGTAGATTACAAAATATTTTATTAGGTTATGTTTGGTTTTACCTTTTTAACTTCAAAACGCTTTTTTTCTCCTTTGGAACTACTTGAAGTGGGCATTTCAACTTCTTCAGCATCTACATCCATTGCTGAAGCCATACTAAGCTTTTTCTTTAATTTAAATAAAAATTTGTTAAAATGAGTATACAAATTTTTTCATGAAATGTCTATATCACTGTCACAAATCACAAATTAATCTGTGTCACTTGTCACTGTATCTGTGTATCTGTATTTCTCTGACTATGATCTGTGATGTTTCTTTCTCTCTCTTTAAAATTAGTGACCCTTGCTTCCCACTCGGGGGCATTTGGCCTGGCTCCTCCTATCAAAGTTGACAAGAGCATCGTCGGGAGCGCAGCGGTCTTGCTCGAAGCAATGCTGCCAACCATTTTTGTCGAACGTTTTTATAAAAAAAAATAATTTTTCATTAAGTCGCCTCCCGCTCGAGAGACCTTTTGGTTTTTTCCATATATACAGCCCCCTTCACGTGGTTATCCGAACCACCGGGCTTGGATACTGACTTGCATAAAGGAGGCCCCTTATTCTTCACTTTTCAAAAGAATCTCACACATTTCAATAATTACTACAATGGACTAATACAATACAAAACGGGGCTCCAGATAGCACATAACATCCGCATACTTTCTTTGTGAGCGGACGTTATCTGCACGTCCTTTCACTACCACGGCCACCACGAAACTCAATCACCTGTGATATTATTTTTGTTTTCCCCAAGGCACAGGAATAGTAAACAATTCTGGCACAGAATACTGAATAAATCTGTACCCAGGGTTCGTATAGAGGGGGTTACAATTGTTACGAAATAGAACGAGCTTTAGGGAAGAATTTCTATCAATGATGGCACTACTGAAACAGCTAACAGGCAATCATTTTTGGTGTTTTGAGTTATTTAAGTGTGAATTCCTAGAATTCCTTTCAGTGCATTCATAATATACATCAATAGGTATAATGAATTATTTTCACTTACGGGAAGCACAATAACACATAACAACACATGACTTCAGCTAATAGGACTTTGTTTTGTTTTACCATCTGGCTTAGTTTAAATATGTCCGATAGGTGTCGCATCTGGACGATAAACTTTCCACTAGGCAAGAGGGTTCCAGTGGCCGAATTATCAACATCATATGAGAATGCGCACTGGGTTTTATATTCCCACACAAATACAAAAAAATGCCAAAAACTACAAGAAAGCTACATTCTGATTGTGATGAACAGATGAACCTGTGAAAGGGATTCAAATTCTCAACGAAATTTATACCAAACCAAAGACAAATACAAAAAATGACAAGATAATATATTTTGTGTTGTAAATAGTTTATATACATCAAAATTAAATAATCATATTAACCATTTGTGAATGGAGGTGAATAATCAATATTGTTGTTCGTGAAACAATAGTGTCAAAAAGGGCACAATTCGGAAATGTGGGCACTATATTGTATTTTTACCTCAGAAATATAATGTGGTCCCATATTTCTATTATTTGCTATCGACTAAATTTTTGTAGGATTCTGTCAAAATTATTCGCTTTGTTGTTCTGTACACAAAATTTATCGATTCAATTTTTTATACTGTTTTTTTTTGTATAACGTTCCTCAATCTAAGAAATGAACAAAACTGGAAATACCTGTAACACCCCCCCATGCCCCCTCCCGGGTGAGTGCCCTGAAGTAAAAACTTCGCCCCACAACTAGTTTGCGAGGAAAACTTAATACTCCACTCCTAACTACCCCCGCTCTCCGAGCGGTCCTCAACTTACTGATGGCTGCAAGATTGACATCTGACCTCTTTTGGTCGAAAGTCAGCCTTTAGGTGCTATTCTTTCTGTCTATAGCACCGTATAGAAGTAAACACTTATAGCTATTTACAATTCAGGCATAAGCTTTTAACTCAGTGGTCTAGCGTGGGTTTCAGGCGTTTGGGGCCGACCGGAAATACGCCGCCCCTTGTTATTTATTATCATAGTAAAATATGTGTATACAAATATATATTTATCTTCTGATTTTCATGAAATTATTTCACTTGATGAAAATAATTGCGTGAACGCTAGCGATATATAAATGGAATCACCTATTGGTCAAACCACCAACACTGACATAAACTAGAATCTAATAGAATCTCCTAACGCAGATAACAAAAAAATCTACTAGTAAATAAACGTTGCATGAAATGATCTTGGATTCAGTCTATCCTGCAGCTCGCAGGAATGAATTACCATCGGAACACTGTTCCGAACCAGAAAACTGTACACACCACAGCAACTTTTGATGCTTTGTAAAGCTCAGATCAGACCTTATATTCGAACTCTGCCCTTAAACATACCCTGAAGTTGCTGGATTCCATCCAGAAAAGTGCCATCCGCCTGACTGGAGACGCGTGAACATCACCCTGATAGCCTGGAACATCGAAGAAAGTTTGGAGATTTGTATCTCTTCTATAGATACTTTCACGGGAAGTGTAAAAGTGACTAGGCACATTTGATTCCACTAAGAGCGGTACAAATCAGAAATACGCGACGGACTGTGGATGCTCATCGTTTTGAGGTTCAACTCAGTACACCTCGAACTTCACTGTTTAAGAACTCTTTTGTCTGAAAAACTGCGTTTATGTGGAATAAACTTCCTGAGAACGTTTTTCCAAATGAATTTAATATCCAGCGATTCAAATCCACCGTGAATCGCTACTTTCGCACAGGCACCCCGTTCTAAGAGCGCACTTTCGCTGCATTCGATTCCACCTTGGTAAGTTGGTAACTTACCCTTTCGCTTGGCACGTAACACGTACGTAACATTGATTAGGTTTGGTTCAGATTGTGTAAGGTTAAGGTTATATAACCAAAAAAACGGCGAGGAGGATTCAGTCCTCCAGAAAATAATGTATTGTCATTTTCACTCATTTCTAGGATGAAGATGCACAGAACGACAGAATTCACTTTCTATACATCTTGTGCTATATCCAGGTTCTAGTATATCTTGGTGCTCCGTGTCAAATTTGATTCATGTTTGATATTAGAATTTTATTACGAATCACTGGATGAAAAGTGGTTCAAATTTTATTGATATCACTTGTCGATTATCATATTCTAGGATTTAAAATATGCGTTATCAAGGTTGATAACAATGTTTGCCAAATGATAGGGTTAGTATTTTCCAATGGTACATAAATATTCAAAATTTAATATGAAATATATGAAGTAATAACTGTATTTCAGGATGAATCATATAATATATTTAACATCAATAATATCTGTTTTGTGTGGAATAGTTGCAGTTTCTCCATCATGCCTATATTATTTTCACTTTCTCAGTTTGTTTATATTCAGCATATTATTAGGAATTACTACTGCTCTATGGACGAATATTATGCTTTCTTTGCCACACAAAACTACAGTGGGGGCTGAACATACCCTCAAGCAGTCTGAACATTTCAGAAACAAAATTATGGTAAGATTTTTTTATGCTACCAATTACCTAGAGGAAACATAATTAAAGTTGTCTCATGGATGATAATACAGTTTGAGCTCATGCCACTTTTAGAAGGATTATGAGACTTCACCCACTTTGAAAGCAGTTTCATCACACATACCTCATATTTTTGGACGAACAGTTGACAGTTTACTAATGCAGCTACTAGACTTTTTGATTAGGGATTATATCTTGATCTATCTAACAGACTTCGCTTATGAATTGGATACTTTGGGAACCAATATCAAGTGAGTTGATATTATGAGCTTAGTAATACTACTTTCAGAATTAATCGCTGATTTACTTCATACTTGTAAGTGAAAATTTGAAATTTTTCAGGAAAGAAAAATGTAGTGTTCCTTGATCAAATCTCATAGTTTACAGAGAGCATGTATGTAGTGAAGAGTGCCAAACTTCGTCACTTGTTACTTTTTGGCACTCACCACATAGTATTAGCACAATAATAATAATTTCTGACAGAAATAGTTTTTCTGTTCAATTTCAATCAAAAGTAAACAACAGATCTTATCTCCGTAACTATAACAATAAAAAATGTCAGTAGGAAAGAAATTAGAGGACAAGGTACAAACATCATTCCTGAATACCACGAAACTGATCTGCTGCTTCTGAATGTATGAGTAACATCTGCAAGTCTTTCTGTGAGGTATCATGCATAAATGTCTTGTCGGATATATTTCATTATTCATCATGATATTAGCCGGGGAAGTAGTTCTTTTTCAATAGGTATTTACCAGAACCTTGTTGTGAGAGATGAATGTTTCGAGATTCCATTTTGAAATATATTTTTTCTTATACTTATGTATCATCCATTCATTAAGTCTTCAGACTTATTTTGACAAATACAATGCTAAGAAAATGAAAATTTCATAACAAATATAAAAGTATGAACAAAATACGAAATAAATATAAAACACAATAAAGATATAGTGTTATTTGTGTCTTAGTAGTATTTGGTGAACAGCTAAAAATATATACATGTTGAAATTCATTCCCATAACTCAACATTGGAGTTACTCTAGAGAGAAAAAAAAGGTAATCAATTGAACAAAACGGTATTTGAAAAATCTCGTTGCTGACTCTAGTTCATCTATTGACAATCCAATTTACCAAGGATAAGGGTTTCATCACAGTCAATATTATTATTTTGTATAAAATGTACATATCAATTCCCTCTTCTGAGACATATTTTAAATGCACAAATCCTTGAAAAGGTTCTCTGTACGATTTTAATTTGTCTTTTATGAATTCCATAATAGAGACTCCAGATGATTGATACATACTCCAACAAAGATCTAACTAATGAACAGTAAAACATCTCGAGAGTATTTGAATCAAAGTCTTTACAGGCTCTACTAATGAATCCTAACATGAATGATTTGGCTGTATTATATTCAAGATGTCATTTAGAGTAGAGTTCATCAGATAGAATTATAAGGTTTGATGTTATATTTAACTAAATATTAATGCAAGAATCAATAATAACTGAATGTGTTATTCTGAAAAATGATCGGCTACATTATAGTTCATCGATTGATCACACATTATAGAATTCAGTTTAATCTTCCTGAAGAGTAAAACATCATTTGTGCAGACAGTGGTTTTAAAATATTGATATTGACAAATACAAGAAACCTACAATTCGATATGTACATATCAACATAATTAATGGATGAATAAAAAAATAGCGGACCACAATGAGATATGTGTTTCCATAAAGAAGCAGGTTTGAGACTGTTGATTTATTTGTAACATTTCCATGCTATTGTGAGCACTTTTAATACCCATATCATTTGTTTAGTCACCATGAAATCAAATAGTATTTATAGTATTATGTTTATCCCTTGCATCAAAAATTGGCTTCAGAAAACTGCAATATGGATGTCTGCGGTCCCATGGAGGTGAAAACCACTGAAGTTTTTGAAAGATTATCTCAGTTTATTCCAAAATTTTAAATGTCTGGTGAAAAAATCAAAATAATCAGATCTGATAACGGTTTGGAATTATAAAATAAAAATATCGAAAAAAGCGATACAGCAACAAAGTACTAGTACTACATAAAACCTCCCACATAAAAAAAATGATTAGCCCTCGTAAATTATACCACACTGCCCATGCCTTACAAAGGAACTGCTGGAGTACAGTAACTATTTAGTTTTTATGCCATACGAATTGACTTTGTATATACTATACATAAGCCTTAGCAGAAATTCGATTACAAAAGCAGAGAATGTATTTTTGTTGGCTACTCAGAAGAAAGTAATGGATACCGAATGTATTTTCAAAATGAAAGGAGAATAGAAATGAGCAGAGATGATATTTTCAAGAAAAACAAAAGTAAAAATGAAAAGTGATTTCAAACAACAGGAGGGCACGAGGAAAACAATAAAGGTGACACAGAAACCGTTATTTTTAACACCTCGACACGTATTTCAATCACCAAGTGATCAACTTCAAGAGAAAGATTAAACTCTTAAACTTCTTCTTGAAGATGATCATTTGGTGATTGAAACACGCGTCGAGGTGTTAAAAATAATGGTTTGATGTTGGGATAGAACTCCAGTTATATTCATTATTAAACTAAAGGTTCCAAATAGTGCATCACAAACACAGAAAATGTATAATGTGTTCAAGAAGACAAATATTTGGATGAACATAACGAAGAAAGAGGTGTACGATATAGAAATTTGTTGAAAATACCAAAGGAGTTCGAAGATTTTGTATGCATGTTAGTAGAAGAAGAAATTGATTTCTAGAAAGCAATTAAACAAAAGCATTGGAAGAAAGCTATGGATTTAGTTCCATTTCCAGAAAACAGAAAAGCGATAAATAACAAATGAGTTTTCAGAAAGGAGGCAAATGGATCTTACAAAGCAAGGTTGGTAGCAAAATGTTATAATAAAAAATACGGTGAAGATTATTTCGAAACATTTAGCCCATTTTGTCTTTACTAATAAATTCGATTGATCTTTGGAGCTGCAGCATTTCGTGAAATGGAACTGGAATAATTCGATAACAAAACTGCTTTCTTGAATGGCAAATTAGATGAAGACATTCATATGACACATCCTTCTGGTTTCAAAGATGAAACGAACAGGGTGTTCTCTTTAATAAAAGTACATTCGAGTACATTATTTGCGAGATCGACTTGGGCAAGATTTTCAATTGGAGTTTGTACTGAGCGAAGAACAACTTGCAGATATATTTATCAAGGCACTCTGTAAAAATTAATTTCAAGTTTTTAGAAATATAATGAATGTTAAGGAGGGAGTGTTGAAATAATTGATGTGCTACTTGATATTGACATTTATTTTGATATTCTGATTTCACCTAGTAATACTTCTTTATTGTAAGGTCATGTTAAATTTTGAGAAATATAAATAGTTGTTCACAAATCAATCAAAAAAACTAGCAAATCCAACAGTTTCCACATGTATGCAGTAAATCATCGATATATTGCATTACTTACTGATATATGAAAATGTCACACAATAATATAATTTCAGGGATGACTTATGGGGGGCCTTGAATACACTCCATGAGAAATTATCCAGAATAGACCGAGCTAAGCTAATAGCAGGAGACATTGTTCTGAAAATTACAAATCATTTTGAGAGGATCAGATTGGCGAAAGCAGTAGTGTTAGTTGATTAGTTGATAAATGATCCAAATTTTAGTTTGTTTCCATTACTTACTTCCTTCCATTTCAGAGCCGAATCGGATCGGCCGCCGATCTTTCAACTTTCTCCTCATGTTATGTCATCTGAGAAAGAACTTGAGTATCTACGTACACTAAGTGAGCTACTGATTATGTTTCTACTGCCAAGGACCTATTCGTTATCTCCAACAAAATATTTCGTGAGGGAAGTCCTATGTTGCAAAGGTTAGAAAAATTATTTTCCTTCTATTTATTTCTTAGTATTGGGGTTTTCATATTGGTGTGTTGATTGCATATTGTTATTTCAGTTCTTAAACCAGTGATTGACAACATCACTGATCCAGACTTCTTTAATCGCAATGTCATAATCTATATTGAAGCAAATCACGTGCATGTAGACCTACCAAAGAAGGCTCTTGAGAGTGCTAACAATTTTGAAGATTTAATTGATAAAATTGATGATATTCAAGTGCTGAGATCAATCAGGTAAAAATAACTGATTTTGATGCATTCCACAGAATCTAATATTTAGCAGTGTTAGTTTGAAGAAAATTACACACCAGAACTCTGGAATGTCTCAAAGCTACCAATTATTTATTTTCTTAAAAATCAGTCAACTACTATTCAAAAAATAATGTATTCAATTCTGTTCAATTTTATTTCTTGGACTCAATTCCTTTTTTCTAATGTCGAGCAGCATTAATTCAAATGTGAGATTTTATTTGTACCTACTGTCATGGTATTTAGGCATGAAAAATATCATTGTTAGAAACCAATATTGTTGCAAAATGGTTTTTTTGGAAAAGTATTGGATCATATTCACATATATAAACGGTTTCATTTCACACTTCTTTTCATTTCTTACTAAAATTAGTTTGCTACTGTAAAGTTAACATCTTTACATAATTAAAATATGTACACCAGATTTATATTACTTAGTGCATCTGGGAATTTCGTGACTTCAGCTCCTCAAATGCGTTCACATCCATTTGACATTTGTAACTGTAATTTCTGTAGAGTCAACAAGTGCAAAACTCAAGACCTTACATTTCAATAAGATTAGGTACAAATAATTAAGTTTTATTTCCATATTTAATTACAAAAAAAAGCTTTCTGACTTTCTACTTCTCCTGCTTTATACAAAAAATGTGGGTAACTTCCGGAGGAAGAAAGAAAGCAATCAGTTTTAAAATAAACTCTTTACAAAAATGTATAGATCTTGTATAAAATTTGATACAAACTAGAAGAAAAAGCCCAAACATTCATTGTGGAATTGAAACAGATATCATTCATTGGGATGCTGAACAATATATTATATGAAAAAGTATCGTTAAAAAATTTTACTTCCATGGAATACTATCATGCTCAGTGGTGTTCTTCGAAGTTTTTGTGCTCATCAGCACCATCTTGGATAATATCACAAGACGAAGCATTCATTTCTTTCATAACATTACGACTTTATGTCACCAGGGGAGACAAATCTACTGTACGTTAAAAAATATGGGATAATGCAGAGTTCAATAAAATAACTGATCATTATTTCGGGATTGTGAAATAAACTTTATTTATAATATCACGATAAAATAACAATAATGCGATTAGTTTTTGGGAAAAAATAAAGCAATTTAGTTCAAGATGAACTCTTTAGAAAGATGTGTCGATCATGATTAGAAGTTAATTTCAGATACTAACTGGAAAACAATTTTTGAATTGAGGATGATTATACAAAGAGAACATAGTATGAACGAAGGAAATTATTACCTCTCTTAAAAAAGGCAAGGTTTGCAGAAGATAGAGCACACCTAAAATATAACGAATTGGTAATCGACGGAAGAAGCTATAAAATAGATTTTTTCCAAGTAGCTCATAAATATGATGGAAAAACTAAACTGACACGAACAATGAGTGAAAAGTCACCATAAAATAGTCAAATCTAGGAACATATACCAAAATAAGCAAAATTATGAAACAAACAAAAATAATAATTGGGAATTGGGAAAGCAAATATAAAAAAAACACGAAATGAAAAAATAAATAAAAAGTGCTTTAAAAATTAGTATATGGTAAGTACATACAATGCTAGTAAAAGGCAAGACGATGGAGCTGATGCCAGAATTAAAAAGATATGGGAGAGCTGTAGCTGCTCTGCAAGAGATAAGATGATCATGAAACGCTGATATTAAGAAAAAAGATTACACAATTATATATTCGGGAGAAAAGAATAGTGGCTTTTATGCTACTAGGTGCAATAAGAAATAAAATGATGGTATCCAACATGATAAGTGGTAGATTGAATACAAACAAAGCCTAATAAAATGTCTCTGCTATATGGGTATGATTCCATCGAAAACGCGGAAAAAGACTCATCTTATAAGGAGATGAAGGGGAAGTTAGATAGGATACCAAAAGAAGACGTGATACTATTGCTAGGGGATTTCAACCCATAGATCGGCAGAGGAGAGGACATAGAACACGTAGTTGAACACAATACACACCAAGACAAATAACAATGGTCAGATACTATGCGAATTTGCAACAAAACACAGTTAGATACAATGCGAATTTGAAACAAAACATAGTCAGATACCATGTGAATTCGCAGCACAACATAATCTTATAATTAGCAGAACGAAATTCAAACATATAAAAAACACAAGGTGACATGGATTTCTTCAGATCAACAACACGAAACACAAATTGATCATATCCTCATCAATAATAGAATACATTCATTCATTAACAATGTCAAAACATATTATGTGCTGACCCAAACCATTTTATGGAACTTGCAAAATTAAGATTTAAACTATGAAAAAGCATGAAGAAAAGGATGCCTGAAGATAAATGGGACATGAGTAAATTTGAAACAGAACAAACAAGAAAAGAATACAGAATAGAGACAAATAAATCATTTATGGGAAAACAGAAGGTAGACGAGAATGTAGATGTACTCGTAACATGGTATGAAACAAAACATAATGGTCTACAGTTAATGCTGTACATACACTTGAACAAATTATAGAAAAAGCTTATCTGAAAAAGCTTATCTGAAAAAGATGAACATAGAATTGCTCTTTATAGACTTTTGATTCTATTGATAAAAGTAAGCTAATAGCAGCAATTAAAGAGATGTACGTTCCAAGTAAAATAAGGAGACTCACAGCAATGACATTAGATGGAACTAAAGCAATCGTAAAGATTGGTTGTGCGGATACAGAAGACATTGAAATAGATGAAGAAGTAATGCAAAAAAGATAAACAAGGGAACAATAGCATGGTAGCAAGCAAGGTATATTAACACATGCCATTCACAAATGTAGAACATCTGGAAAAATTTATTAACAGAAATAATTCAGTGTATAACTCCGAATATAATTAGAAATGTGTTGAGGGAATTTTCTTTTAGAACCGAAAACTGTATTGTGAGAGAAGGTGGATATGTTGAAGCAATAGTGAATTGATGACAAACTATAACTATTACAACACTTGTTACGCAGTTAACATTATCAGAAAAGACTTGACTAAAATGTAAAGCCATGAGCTTTTACAAATTATAAATCACATAGCTAACGTATTGTATATATTTAAACTTGAGTAAAAGTTCGGGAGGTGACCACAAAAGTGACTCTTTCTTCATGGATAACTTCGAAAAATTGATCAATTTCGTATAAAGGATGTTTGGTTGATATTTTTTTCAATAAGTTTTTGAATCTTCTAAATTGCAAGTTACGAAATTCGGCAGATAAGGCATTGTATAGCTTAATTCCTATATTATCTGTTCTTTTCAACTTATTAGCTGTAGGAACAAGGTTTCATTTATTTCTTGTATCAATGCCATACTACAGTTATGGTCAGTACTAGAAGCAAACACATTTTCATTTTTATTAACAAGAAGGCTAAATCAAGATTGTCTGGAAAACTTCTTTGGCTTAGTCAGGCAGCAAAATGCAATTGAATAAATCCAATGCTAATTCAGTTCGAAAGGACATTTAAAAAAGTGTTTTGTGCGAGACTATCTAAATCTGATTCTAAAAATTGTGTGAATGACGAGAACAGTATTTTGTTAAAAGCAGTATATCTATTTAAAGATAATGTTACCCTCATTTCTCAGACCTCTTTTGAAGTGTCATTGGAGAAGGCCATCGATACATCTCTTCCTCTCATAGATAAAGATTATCAAAAAATAATGTATGGGAGAAAAATTTTGTTAGGTATTTTAGCGGATACCTAATAAAAAAATGCTTACAAATTCACAGCTGTGATATATGTGAGTTCTATTCCAATGCTTATATCAACCTTGATGATTCTTTTTTATATTGCTTTTTAAGAGCTTATGAAAATAGTAATCACAGTAAAATAATACAACTAGTAGGCTATCTTACAACGTGATCCGCCCGAGTTGCCAGGGACCTTCAACCGCTCTTAGGATGAGATTCTCATCCAATGCGTTCAGTGCTGTAGTATCGAAGGATTTGACGGCCATCGGATTAGTTATAATAAACGGTCGGAAATTGATATTGTGTTTAGTTTATTTGCTGTTGTTATTATTGTTTTTAGTTTTTGTAGTTGGTTTTTAGTAATTTACCACAAAATATTCTGTAATAACCTTAAATTTCGTTTCTATATGAGCGCACGTTTATGGCAAAAGAACGAAATTGGCTCCTCACTTCGTTTCGAAGTCACCGAGAACTTTGTGTATTTATGCATGAAAGTAGTGGAAGTGGACTTACTGGTTGATTTTTACTCTTGTAAGATACATATACATTGAAATATGTGAATAAAAATTTCGAAAATCCCAGTAAAATAAAACTTGTAATTTGGAAAAATCAATTAACATTTTGTATAAGTGTTCGGTCTTAAGACCTTGCTATCCAAATTATTATTTTTTAAGCAGTAAATTGTGAATCTAAAGTTCTTAGTATTATAGCCTAGAGTTGCCAGTGCTCAAATTTTTACAACAAAGCAGCTTTGTTTATTGCATTATTCATATTTAAGGTATTATTAACAAATTTTATTTAAGTTGTTTAGTTTTGCATTATTCTCAGAAGTCTCCCAATCTGGGTTTTTCAATTGGTCTTCTAATGTATGGGTCTTTTCTAATCCACTTATCCTTATGAAATTTATTATTCAGGAATATATTTACCTAAGCAACCCGAAAATATTTACCTAGGCAACCCATATATTTAGGCCTATTTCCTTGTAAATGGAAATTTCTAATTTTTCAATTTCCTTATTCTTCCTTGTGTTCCTTTTTCTTAGGACTATTATGACCTTTTCCTACCTATTTTAATCCAAACATTTTTTCTCTCTCTATAATGACCAAGCTGACCCCCTCTCTAAATAGATAGGTAGAATATTGTATTGTAAATTTACATTCATTGTATTTTGAATCTTGTAAGAGTAGTCAGAATTAACTTTTTTTTTCTACAGTACATCATTCATCATATCTTACCTTCCCACAAGAGTTGATAAAATTCTTATGTGTTATTTCACATGAGGTTAAGTGGAAGAACAGGTTATTTTTATTGCGATGAAAATAAACTGAACTTCGCCTTTTATTTTCCTGTAATAAAAAATTTCATTGTATAAAAACTGTTAACTACCTAATATTGGAAATAATAAAGACGAATTATTATTATTATTATTACTTATTTGCAACACATTACATTATATGTATCAACACACTTGACACGTTGTGACGATGACCTTGGCGGGTCTCATTTTGTCGAGTCAGTTATTAAGGGAATAAAGTGAAAACTATAATAGTCGTTTTATTGAAAGCCCATCCTAGTCAAGGATATAACATTAATTGGCGATCCACACATGTGTGGACCGCATGTTTCAAGAATTGGGCTCTTGAAAAGCCAGTGAAATCGCCGTACGGAATAAGTAACTTACCACAAAATCTTCTATAATATCCTTAAATTTCGTTTTTATGAATGGCAACGTTGTGTTACTAGGTTGAAGGAATTTGTTACTAGGTTGAAGTGAATTGTGAGACAAAAAGTGAAACAAGAAACAAATAGTGAAAAAATAAAAATAATTAACCTAACGTGGCAGAATACTGTGTGAGACAATCAGTAATCGATTTAATAGTAGAATTCAAAAAATACAATCACATAATCACCAAAAAATCCATGAATCCATAACTCGTTAAGGGAGAGACTGTTGCCAAGTATCAAAATTAGTTATCAATCTTNAAAAAATACTGCTATAATTTGTCTTTATAGATCGCCCAGTAGCAATATAAATTTGTTTTTTATTCAACTGTCCCGTTTACTGGCGAAAATTACTGAAATATATGAAAATGTATTCATATGCGGGGACTTCAACATTGATAGCTTAATGAGAAATATTAACACAATAATACTCTGTGACATGATTGAATCATATGGAATGATATCTCTTTTCGATGAGCCAACAAGAATTGGACATGTAGGTAAACGTAAAATAATGAGCAGTATCTGTTAACTGGAAAAATAAAATGTATACCCACTAACACTAAAGAAGCTGTCGCAACCCATGCACTTTTCACCGGAGACATGGAGTTCCAAAAAATAATCACTACTGCCATATTTTATTGATATTATTACATAGGATTTTATATGATGCCTAGACAAAATTATTTTATTGTAAAACCTATTTTACTTGCATGTTATTTAGGCCTAGAATTTATTTGTGTTTGTTTATACCTTTGTATGTTTATCTTTATGTATGTTGATAATCTAACTATAATTATGACTATAATAGTCGTTTTATTGAAAGTCCATCCTAGTCAAGGATATAACATTAATTGGCACATGTGTTTCAAGAGTTAGACTCTTGAATAGCCGGTGAAATCGCCGTACGGAATTAGTAACTTACCACAAAATATTCTATAATATCCTTAAATTTCGTTTTTATATGAGCGCACGCTCATGGTAAAAGAACGAAATCGGCTCCGCACTGCGTTTCGAGGTCACCGAGAGCTTTGTGAATTTATGAATGAAAGTAGTGGGGGTTGATTTTTACTCCGATTTTACTATGATTTGAAATCTATGAAAGAACAAATAAAATTAGAATTGATATCTGAAATATCAATTTATTAAGCAATAAAACGCGAAATGAAAATACAATAGAGTTATTAAGGAAATAAAGTGAAAACTATAATAGTCAAATCATAATTTAGATCCAGATTTAGTTCAAATAAGAACATGTGTGGTTTTTCCACATTTTCCACAATTTTCACGCGTCGGACTGAAGAATCGGCAAATTTTTTTTGTCGGACCAATCGATATTTGCATTTCGCATGTATCAAATAACCAATCCTGAAAAAATCAGGTGGTTATCCATGAATTTTTTGAACGCAAAATTTTGACATGTTTGAGTTGGTGGACAGCCTCAACGGCCCAAAATTTTTGTCGGACAAATTCATTTTTGTGCATTTTACTGATTTTTCTTTCAAATACTTTCTTCGAAAGTGCGTTATGCATAAATTTTAAAATTTTTTTCTACTTCTGCATCTTTATAAAAATAATGTAAAGAACTTTCAGATACAAAAAGGAAGAAAAACACTTTTGAAACAACTACTTCCACATGAACATTGAATTACACGATAAACACTTTATTTGGTCTATCGAATTTATTTAAAATTTAACTTTTATGGAAATTTAGCATCCTTGAGTTGTATTTCTGGAAGTTTCAGATTGAATAAACTTATTTCCAACACCTCATCAGCCCCTCTTTGAATTCTTGAAGACCAATTCACCGCATTTCTTGTACAACATTATGACTATGTTATGAGACAATCTGCTTGTGTCAAAATGATAGTATGTAAAACATTCGTACATTTATTTTAATATCAGTCATAGGAAATTTGTTTAAATTCAAATTGGAAAATACTTTCCATTGGAGGTTAGTCCCATTTTAATATCCCAGTATTCTTTGCGTTCCAATATCAATGGTATTGGAACCCCCTACAGTTGGTTGAGTCAGAAGAAATGTCTAAGATAACTTCTTTTATCAAAACTCATTTATTGAATCGACAGAAAAGTCAATAACACTTATTGGAGTTTAGGAAGGGTTCCACTGGGATCTCTGTAACTTTCACTGTGAACTGCTAGATAATACCAGCGCCCAAAACTGTTGCATTCAATATTCAGTACGTTTTCAATTTTCTTCCGGAAGTAGTAAATACTCAGATGAATAAAAACGCTGGTGCAGGTTTACACAGTCGCAGATCCAGGACATAATATCAACCTGCCTAATGACCTAGGCGCCGTATTTCATGAAGAAATATACGTCATTGATTACGCCAATTGAAATATTATCTTTCGAATGACATGTAAACACATAGCAACATCCAAGTTAGCAGTGAACTGCCAAAACAGACTCCTCAATAGGAAGATTTAAGAAGGTGTCTGTGGTTCGGATTTCAGGTCACAGTGGCCTGGAAGGTAATGAAACTGCTGACTCCCTTGCAAAGCAGGGTACTGCAAGTGGTTTATTCGGACCAGAATATTTTATTGGCATCGTTTCAGGCTTGGCCAAACAAATACTAAATACCTGAACTACAAGAAGAGTTCCAGACTTATGGACAATCTACCAGAATTGGCCAATTCCAGAGCATTTATACATTCGTTGAAGTATGTTACCAAACATTTGTCAAATTACAGGTTACTGCCGTTTGAATCATCATATGATGAGTCTTGAACTGTCGGCAGTTTCTTTTTGGAAGATGATGAAACAGTAGAGCACATTCTCTGTGCCTGCTCCTTGGCTGACCGAATCTGGTTGGCAGATGGTATGGCAGAGTTTCAGTCTTGCCATCTAACCCCAAAAGACATTTAAAAAATAACCTAATCAGCTTCATCAAGAAGCTGGACTTTTTTTCCGAGTTTGAATAGGTTTAAGTCACAATAAACCATCGAGGATCAAAACGTTATTTATTTTGCTCGTCTTATATACTATAACAGGGTAGTGGTCAAAAAATTTGTTCTATCTCAACTACTATTGTTTAGGTATAAATTGCCGTGCTCACGGCAAACTTTAAAATTCAAAGTTATTTAAAATTGAAAAGAAACCAATTTTATTGTAATACATTGATGGATGTAGCCGTTACTACGTGGTAGGAAATCATAATGAAGAGAAGAGAAATGAAACTTTCTGTTTTTTACCACTTTTATTTGTAACTAACGTTACTGCAGTTTCATCCTATACGGACATTTTCAAACTTATACAATAAACAATTTCATTGTCTTGACAATTCTCAGCATGTGTATAATGTATATAGTATTTTTGTGAATCTAAATGAGTTATAATTACTCTTTCCAATGTCTAGGTACAATATTGTGACAAAATTAATGCAAGCTACAACCCTTCAAAACTTGAATCGTGCAAAAGGAGTCGATCTAGACAATGACAAAACTACCTTATCTTCTGCTGGTGTACAAAAGTCTGATATCAGCGCCGCTAAAAAGCTGAGAAAGCACATAAACCAACTGACTTCAGCTAAACAACAGTGCGAGAAAAAGTTGATGAGTCTCGGTTGGGATTCAGGATGTCAGTATGGAGATGAGATGAAAAGGGTAATTTTCACTCCTTCATAATATCATTTAAGTGTTATGATTTGTATATTTCTCTATTTACGTTAATGTTCATTATACAGGGAGGGTAAAAGTCTGTTTGATAAGTTCAATATTTGTATTTTATGTCTAAAAGCATCACATGCAATATTTTGGGAGTGTAACCAAAATCTTAAAAATGAATGAATTGAAAATGAATCAAAATAGAATCTGCTGAAGTCAATTGAGGGACAAACTGAAAAGTTCACCTCAAAAAGTTACTGTGTCAGTAACTGAAGTCAGTAACTTATGATATTCATAAATGTTGTTTACAAATCGAATAATCAATTTTATTCTTCACTTAATTGTTCGATGTTTCGGAAAATAATCCAATGCCCTAATTGTAAAATGCTGTATATCCTTTGATACACGTCAGAAGAATGAAATGTTCAGATGTCATATGCGATAGTCTACACACTCTACACTAATAAAAATACATTGTTTTCTGAGAATTCCATTTAGATTCATATTTTTATTTTCAAGCTCCTGCCTTAGCAATGGCAACCAGATACAAGCGATTTCTACAAAACTATTTGAAATACATATTTTACCTGATGAAAGAATATATGCGGATATTTTGAGTTTTCTCATATTTTCATTAGGTTCATTGGTGACAATTTTTGTTATACTCCATTTCATTGTGTTATCACCAGTGAATTTTAGAATATACTCCGCTTTCCCTGATGCTGTTATTTGTCTTCTCTTTATAAATTCACAATATTCATTTTTTTATATCTAGTGGTCTTGACGCTTGACAAGGTATATCATAAATACACTCTTTCGTTCTTTCAAACGCATTTTCGGGTTAAGTTTGTGTCAGAAGAGATCTCAGTGTGTTGGTAGTTCTAATAGTTGTTCTTACAACATATCTGTAACCGATTCATGTCAATTTTTCAGACAAATCGGTAACATAAAGTATGGCGTTAGTTGAGAGGTATGATTATTTTATCTTCAGATAGAATTTATGAAAAAGACGAATTGGAGTCTTCAGTGGTTTATCTTAAACAGTAACTTTTTGGGGTGAACTTTTCACTTTGCTTTAATTACACTTCAGCAGATTCTCTATTGATTTAGCTTTGTTCATTTTTCAAATTGTGGAAGGTTATACGTCATAATCCGGCTATTATTAACGAAAATAAAACTTGGTGCCTGTTTGGCACTCAACAATCTTTGTTTTTTCTTATGCCAACGAATTCAGGACTCGTTCCTCTTTCGTTCGACGTACCTTACGTTACGAACCGACTATTATTAATTCATCATGGGTGTTGGGTAGTAAGTAGATTGTGTGGTTTTTATAGAAACGTATAATTAAATTTGTACAAGATTTCTGGATGAATACATCTAATAGACAAATCGAGTTTTAACTGTCTTTCATATATCATGCGACACAACACACTGACTATTTTTCGTTTTCGCACTGGTGTCTGTGACCCTTGAAGTGCCGGATTGCATGACAGGTATAAAGTGCCATAGGCGTACGGGCAACGAGTTTTTAGGTGTTAACAATGGGATTTGTGACCTAGAATCGGAAAAATGTTCCCAAGAACATAATGCACACAGAATAAATACAGGACACTTTAGAGAACACCTAAACAAACTAACATTTTTCAATGGGCTTTAGACCTACCAAGGAAAGAGACAGTTTGATATGTGTCTAGTGAATAAAAATCCAACAAAGGAACCATATAAATTAAAAAAGAGAACAAGAATTTCGGGATGAGCGTCCCAACGAGACGGGAGAATTCGCAATAGATCCACAAAACAGCAAGTTGTGTAACTTTGTGACAACAGAACATGGAAAGCCACAAGAATCCAAACTTGTTTTGATACCATTCATCATTTATGTGAATGATATGTTTTTCAGTATACTTTCTCTGAGTAACTCAGTTCACCACATTTGATGTGCTGATGTAACTATAATACAGCGTGAAATATGAATTATGAAAAGAATGTAACTTTCCCACACTCAAACAAAAAAAAATACCTCGACTTCATAGAGGAAATCACATATCAAATATTTCACAGTATTCTGGAGTTTGTGGTGTAAGCATTGATTAAAACGCATCTTTAATTTTGCAGAAAATAAAAGTAAAGTTGTTTAAGGTCACATCGAAACTACTTTTTTCATAACAAAAAATTCTTTCCTTCACTCGACTTTTTGTCTTGAAAATTTCAGGTTAAACCAAAATAAATGGGTTTCAACGACTTTCAATTGTAAATTTTTACCACAAATAGTCAGTAAAAACATCATTTACCTCTGTGAACAAAAATTAGTAATCATTTATGCAAATTTTTGTAAGATATAAAGAACAAATGAAAGACCTGCTGAGGATACCCAAAGCCATTATTCATGAGGTTAAACAACTTTATTGAAATATCTTTTCATGATTAGTCAAATTACTTAGTTCCATTACAATCTGCATTTAATTCATTAATACCAACTTACCTAGATCTAAACAATGATACTTCATTTATTTGTTTACTTAAAGAATACCATTCATATTTTCAGAGTAGTTTGTGATGTGAATATATTCAACTAAAATAATCTATTCTCCAACAAATGTTTTAATTAAAAACCTGGTACTATATATGACTTTTTTGTAGGTACTGTCTTTACAGACTATTTTAGAGCATGTTCTGGGTAGGAAATATTTATCCCAGTTTCTGCAAACTTTGGCAAGCCAAGACTTGATTAGATTCTGGACGTCAGTGGAGGAACTGCGTACAGCTCAAAGAAAAAACTGGCATCAACTTGGTGCAGAAATTTTTTATACTTTCATTAGAAATTCCACTTCTGAGATAAAAGTCGACAAGACCACCAAAAAACGCATGGAATCATTTTTATTAGGTATTATTCCAGTGTACCATTTTATATACTTCCAATTTTCAAATCAATTTTCTTAGGTGATAAGGGACCAGAAGTTTTTTATGAAGTGCAGAGGCAAGTTGTTCAAACTTTAGAAGAAAAATATTATCAGCCTTTTTTAATCAGTGACTATTACAAAGAAATGGTTAACGCCATCGAAAGAGAAGATGAGTTGACTGAAGAAGGCAGTAGGTCAGTAGATGACAAACAGATTTCAACAGACTCTTTGAGTAGTCCAGAGAATAACTTGAATGTTGGTGACCATTCGAATTATGCCAGAAGAAAATTAGATCAACTAGAGGAAAAATTGAACAATAAGTCTCAGGTATTAGTCAAAATAATGTTTTGTTTCAATAAAATTTCTCAATCAATTTTATTTTAGGCTTTGGAAGCCTTACGTTTGTCAATGAGGCCTGATTCGAAGGTTCTTAGTAAACTGGAGAATGCAGTTGAATGGCTGCAAGGCGAGAAAAGACAACTGGAGGCCCACTTGACAAGAACAGAGATTTGGGCAGAGAATTTAGGGCGATGGAGGGCTATAGTACAAAGTGCAGAGGTAAATTTGAAAAAGGGAGTATTTAATATTAGTTTATTCCGATAGATGAATGATTTGATGATGGTGTGTCATAGGCTTATATTGCCTTCAAGTTTTCAACAAAATTGTAAGATGCTTCGAATAAGTTCTACTCTCTGAAAGACTTGATTCAACCATATCATCTGATCAAGCTAGAGCCTAAATGAAAAAGTTTACAATCGGAGGAAAGTGACTTTCTCAACCTCACTCGGTTTTGTATCTCACTGTCCCGATTGGGAATATGCTGTTTCTCTTCTATCCCTTGTGTTGAAATTGCAAAAAAGAGCTGAATAATGTCTGTGAGGTTGATGCTGGATGTTTTTTTCAAAATCTAATCCATTTATTTGCAGACACAATCTATTTTTCCAGTGTTATTTCCTTCCGTTTCCTAGTTAGAATTCCAATATTTTGTTATTGTGCAGTAGTTGGTTGAAATTACTAAATCATAATATTTTCAGATACCCAATGAAAGAGAACCACTGCAGTTTGTATTGGTTGTACAGATGTCTGAAGATGAATCTCCCGATGGGGAGGAAACTATTTGTACAGGTTGGGTTGTTTGTAGGAGCTTAACACAGTTTCAAGAGCTACACAAAAAATTGCGCCCTCTGTGTTCTGATATACGCAGCTTGGAACTTCCTTCAAATACCTTCAAGTTCCTCTTCGGGAAGACTGACAAACTTACTTTGGACAAGGCTAAACAGCAAATTCAGAAGTATTTGAATGTAAGAGAGATAGTTTAGTGGAATATATGTTTTACAAACAGATTTTCAATAATTTTCTGTATATTTTCAGTTTGTCTTAAAGGATGACAGGCTTAATCAAAGTGAAGCTATATACTCTTTTCTGAGCCCCAGTTCAGAACATTTGAAACATTCCACACCGAGCCCCAAAAAGTCTAGATTTTTCTTCTCGACATTGTTCAAGAGGTAAATAAAGTTATTTATTGTTAATATGATTTTGATTCTACATAAGATACAGTAATTCATGATTTAAATAAGATTTCTGGATACAAATTCATAATTCAATTAAAAATTTTTCAAAATCATTTTACTCATTCATAACTTGAAAAAAAGAAGTAATCGATATCCCCCAATCCAATTTGAAACTAATGAAATCATATACAAAAACTATACAAAATTTCTAGGACTAGAAATTGATGAAAACCTTAGTGGAAATGAACACATTGAAGAACTTCGAAAAAAAAGTCACTGATTATCAGTATTCTTTATAGAATTCAAAATTATATTGATTGAAAATATTTGTATTTGTATAGATTCTACATTGTGGAAGTTAACATCAAAAACCAAAAAAAATACATATTTTTTATGAGCTAATGCTAATGAATTATAGCCAATGATGTTTTTAGCGGTAGCGAACAAAGTAGGGACTCTTACTCGATTCTCAAAGAGAGTGAAGAGGAATTTATGGAGCAATATTATATCTGCATGTGCCCGTCTTGTACTGAGTAGAGCTAATTTCAGAGAGCAAATGAACTCTAGATGGCATATTCATTTTGAAGGCAACATATCTAAGGAATTTGTTCTGAACTTTCTCAATATTATGACTGTGGTTGAAGTAAGTTGGAGACCAGATGTGAGTGCAATACTCAATCACTGATCATACCAATGCAAAGTATAGTTTTTAATAGAAGAAAGGTTGGTGAAATCTTCAGTTGATCTGCATATGAATTCTAAGATTTTCATTGCTTTGTTAGATATGTGTTCATACTGTAAATGAAAGTCCATCTTGACATCCATCATAACACACAGATCTCATTAAGATTGTATACATCACAACTTATTCCCTGCAATACTATAACCAGTCGTATAAGAAAGATTTAAGGTCCATTTGAATTTTCACACAATTCTGCAATAAATTGATTTGCCCTGAACATTTTTAGATCGTCAGCAAACATCAGTATTTCAGATTGAGTAATTTTTTCTTTGATATCATTTACAAAGATATTAAAGTGAAAAGGTCCCAAGTGACTGCCCTGAGGTACTCCTGAGGTAACAAATATCTTATGAGAAATAAATCCTTTAATTTTCACAAACTGTGATCTATCACAAAGATAACTTGAGACAGTCCAACAAACTCCGAAAAAAGCCAATTGCCTTCAACTTTTCACAAAAAACTTTTTGGTTCACGATGTCAAATACTTATGAAAAATCGGTCTAAATTACGTCCACTTGTTGTTTATTTTCCAGAGTATTAAAAATGTGCTGGGTGTACAACAGTAGATTTGTGTTGGTAGATTTACCTTCACCAAATCCATGCTGTTCATTGATAGTCACTTGTTTTAAAGGAATCTTAGTTACCAGACTTGAAAATTGGCGTTATATAACTTGATTTTCAAATGATGGGGAATTTTCCCAAACTAAGTGAAGCTAAAAATGATAAGAACAGTGATTTAGCTATTACAAATCTAAAGGTTTACAGAAGTATCGTACCCCTTGTATGGTTCTAATTCTGATAATTTTTGTAGGATAATTTCTAAGGAAACTAACTGTACAACTATTGATATCAATTGTTTTCTCATAACTTAATATTGGTATTTCACTGTATATACAGTGCTTTTCTTTAATGCCCCCTTTTATTTTTTGAACGGGTCAACTCATAAAATTTAAATTTGGGATAATAAAATTAATGCATGAATACTTTATTAACACAGTAGAAGGAGACACCTCACAAACATTCGCGATGGAATAAGTAAACTGTTCAGGATCTCACCAATTATTTGCACTTGCTGTTCTTCCGGAATAGACGGATGACCTGGGGGCTTTTTGTTTTGTACACTACCGTTAGTTGTGAATTTGAATACTTACAAGTTCCCTCAAATATTTTCTACAGATAGGACGATTCGGAAAACGTTCATTGAAAATTCTTTCGGTCTCGTGAAAGTTACGCGTTGCACCGTAAATTAAAATCTCTTCAATTTTTTCTCCATTGAACGAGAATTGACCATTTTGAAGATTGTTGACGTGGTACCTTTCTACTAGTAAAACCGAAAACTAAATGAGAATATTCTAACTGAACAATGATGTTTATTGTCGTACTGACATTTTTTGTCATTTTTATAAACAAAGAATAACTTAACAAACTTTATCGGGTTGTTGGAATTGCCATATGGCATATAAGGATATCGATATTAATGTGTTTGTCTTCAGGAAATTATTAAATATTCCGCTATTTTGTAGTAGATGAAGATATTGACTTCATATTCTAGGGTTGTGAAGTATTCGTCAGGAACTTCAAAATAATGTGTCACAAGACCTTTCCACTTATTTTTTTGACCCGTTCAAAAAATAAAAGGGGAGGGGACATTGAAGAAATGTGGTCTATAAACTGACTGAAACTGTTTTGCAAATGCATTAACAATATTATTTCTATTCTTATAGATATTATCCCCGCAGTACATAGTATCAGGAAAGCCATAATTTTCCTGTTTATTGTGTACAAATTCCAAAAGTGTTTTATGTTTGATGTCAAGTTATTTTCAATTATTTTAATATTTTTATCACTGCAAATGTTTGACGCCAGGTTGCATCGGTCTCTGAGATCTGAAAATATTTGGTAGTCATCCCAAGATTTACTAAGATTATAGGCTTTATGAGCTTTTTTCTTTTCAATAATGAGTTTCTTCAAATCATTGTCGAACCAACGGGGAAATTTTGACGTGATTTGCCTAACATAAGCAACAAAGTTACATATACCCTCATATAAAAAATTAAAAAAAATGTTTGTAGCCGTATTTATATCTGTTATGTTTCTCATATGATATTCCCAATCAATACCAGCTAAACAATAATTCAATCCAATATAATTGGATTTCTTAAAAATCAAAGTAGAAATATTAATACCCTAATGCCTTATGATTATTCACTATTGATATAATAATTGTTAATGCTGGGTGTTGAATATCGCATGGCAACAAGCAGTCATTGCATAAATCTACAGTACAGTTAAGTGGATTAGATCTAACATTACACCGTAACAGTTATTCTTATCATTCAATTAAAAAATATTTTGAAATGGAGAACTATCAACCTTTGCTTGGGTTGCATAGTTGCTATTATCAAGAGTTTTCAATAAACCTATAATATCTACCTAGAGTTGAGATCATATCCTGTTTACATTAATGTGGTTGATGAAATGCGCACCTAGAAGAGTGTTAGTTCATTTTCATTTTATTTTTTCTAAGACCAAAAACGCGTTCAACTTGGCAGAAATTTTCTGACGTGATCGTTATACCATTTCAATGGAATAATGTCACATATCCTGCAGTTTGTACCAGATAAAATATTGAATAGTCAAGTTTAACTATCTATACTTTGGACAAATGCACCCGAGTCGGGAGCAAAGTCCAATAAACCAATATACTTATCGGTATAATTAAATTATGTTTTGGTTGTTTTTCGGGTTTTGCCGTGGTCTTTTTTGGTTATAATCTCCAAACGTTTCGACTGCAACTGCAGCAGTCATCTTCAGTGGCGTGGTAGAACTACATTTCTTGATGTGTCAACTGAAACCAAAGTTGACACATCAATGCCATTCCACCTTTGAAATATCTCAAATTAATATTCAAACTGAATTTCCAATTAATATAAACAAAATGGCAAGTATGCCAGAAATATCTCAAGATATAAAAAAATTAAAAAATTCGATTGATCAGAGTACAATTTTTAAAAATCGATACATTAAAAATTATATATTCGAAATAATCCTAATGAACATTGAAATTAAATACAGCATCCCATTTCTAGATAGTTACCAGAATCGTAAATATACTGGAAAAATAATTCCACAGACCTTGTAGAAGATGCGTTCTTGTCACCTTCTGAAATTCTAATATTTTTTTCATGAAAATTTCAAAATATAATTACAAAACACTTCATTCATATACCTGAGCTCTCAATACTTAATAGTAGTATCATTAATAGCTTCTACAGAGAACTCAAACATTTTTTGAAACGTATCTCAATAATTACAAGATATTGTTTTTCGTGCATTACTTAACGGTAAAGGAATTGTACACTTTCATCTACATAAAAAGAGAGATATAAGAATATAAAGAGACGTTGTAAAATTTATCAAATCTTCTTTGGTTTTCAGAGCTGCTTGGCTATCCATAATAGAGGTATAAGGTATACGCAGTACATTTTGAAATATATGTTGAGGACTGGAAAGGAGAACGGTAGTAGTTTTAATTGAAGAGTCATATACTGAAAGTGAAATTATATAACTAACCTATATATAAATCACGAATTTCCATTTTGATTAACAAAATGATTCTCTGCCTCTGCATCAATCGGTATATTCTGATTCAGGTGACCTACGGCCGCAACATAAACAGGCAGATTTATGAGACGATCTCTTGGTGGTTTTCAGAAGGAATGTTGCACTACTATATAACGTTGATTTTGAAAAATTTTTGGCCGGGCGGAACGCTAGCTGTTCCAGCTGCCAATAGGTCGAAAGAAGAGAGATTACGAACTGCCCAGAAAGCCCAAGAAATGTTTGTAAATAATGTACCAGAGTTACTTACGACGCTGGTGGGAAATAACGCTGCAAAAAACGGCGCTAAGAAAGTGTTTGATGCATTTCAGGAGAAAAACATGAACAAACATTTATTTTACGTGAGTATTTTTCTATCGCTCAGGATTTTAATGCTGTATATTTTACATGAAACCTAGTTACAACCAAGTTTTCAGTTCCCGATTCCTGGTAATTTCTTTCCTTGTAGAAGTCCACTTAGTAAAAGTAAAAAAAGAAATATTTGAGAGTGATCCATGGATAGATGAAAGAATATGTTTAACCTAAATTTAACTGAAACATTGCCGCCAGGAAGTGCTAGTGTCAACACAAAACTTAAAGAAAACGAAGAAATATTGATATTTTTCCTAATACTTACATAAACGGAACTTTTTTGTGTATTTGTGAAATTATAGCAGTTGAAGAACCCACTACAAAAGCACATAAATTGCTTATCTGAGTTTGATTTTTCATACCTCTTGCAATTTCTGGATCTTCTGAGAAGCTTTACATTTTCAAAGGCATATTTTTAACCCACGCATTGGAAAATATACTTTTACATATGTGTAAATATTGTTCACTGCATGGTCCTCAAGAACTGAGATTGGTGGTAGTTACTACATGGATGTGACTTGAAATAGATTATTGTGCGAGTCTAGATATTTTTAATTTTTTTATGAACTTTTTATAGAATGTGGAAGTTTCAACAATGTTGTGCATGTTTGCAAGGTAAAAGAGATGAGAATTAGGTGTGCATCCAAACTATACGAACTTTACAAATTTAAACTCGCCATGTTTCAATGTAATATAGTACCCTTTTTAAAAACACCATCAAGCAATATAAACACTATTTTTAAAACACTACCATTCTCAGCATTCAGTTTGAAATATACAAATGAACTGGGACAAAAGCTCTTTGGCTTTCTACTTCTCTGTCTCTATACAAAAATTGTGCTTCATTGTCATCACTGAATAGTATAGATATATCAGACAGGATTATATATTCACTATATGAAACTGCCTAATAATATCATATATTGCAATAGCGTTTTTGGAATATTGAATTGTCATACTGATGGTTATTCACTTAATAAGTCTGCTGAATGGTTTCTTTGTGAGGCTATTCTTCAGTATATAATAAGTTATTTTAATTCTCCGAAGGAGTGTGAAAATGCTGGCTTTCAAGCTCTCATTCAAGAAGACTATTTTTTTTGTAATGACTCCAGCTGGAGGTATAAAAGAAGATTGAAAGAACACAAAGATGAAGTTATTTTGGCTAAAAATTGTTATTATTTTTATCGAATACTCGATGCAGACAATAAACGGTGAGAAACATGGAAGGTTATTAACAATGAGTTAGGGAGAAAATAACGAGTAGGTACTTGATTATCTCTCCAGGCAGATAACAATAACAGGTTAAACTGGAACCTTTGGAATATAATAAATATAAGAAAGCACTTTTCCCAAATCATCAGAACTTCAATACTCTTGTTGATGAGCGTTTCACCAAGTTGGCGTCTTCAGAAGATGAAAAAGATAAAATTTTCTTCATCTGATGATGAAGATGAAATATTCTCATCTGAAGACTCCAACTTGGTCGGTGAAACTTTCTTCGAGAAGAGTATTGAAGTTCTGAACGATATCTGTTTTTTCGTTAACCAGCTGTCGCACCCCTACGAACAACAACCCTCAGAAGTCGAAACTTGTGCGAGCTAAGGATTAACGAGGTCTTACCTTTTAACGTGTGATTCCTAGCTCAGGTTGGACGATAGCAAGTGAAAATTGATCGTTCAGACTAGGGCTGAACTTTATTCAGAAAATGCAATCATGGTTACAATAAACATTTTAAATAGTAATTGAGATAGCAGCACTATCCAAAAAAAAGTTATCCAAAGCAGCACCAACATGCTGGTCTCGGAAAACTAGCTAAAATCAATATAATATTACCTTATGCAGTACAACAAAATAATATTATCAAGATTCACTTGAGAATATATAATACAAATGTGAATAAAAAACTTAATAGTAATTAATACAGAGAATTAAATAGATTTAAGCCGTTCCTTCGTTGAGTATGCTAGTATAAAAACTCTTTATTTTATTCTTAAAGATACTGAAATTAGGGCTATCTAATATTTTCTTGGGAAGAGAATTATAAGTTTTCATGCATAGTGTAATGGAATTATTTAAGCCAATATTAGTATGTACAGGTTCTAAAAAGACATTATAATGAATACGAGTATTGTATTCGTGAAGCTGATCAATGAAAGTGAAGTTGGTATTACATGTGACTTGTTCATGTATAACCTTGTATGCAAATTTACCTTGCTCGATTTCTAGAGCATCCTGAATAGGCAGTATCTTGGTTACACTGTATAAAGTATCAGCTGAGGTTCTGTAGTCAAGCCTGAATAACATTTTCGCGACTTTGTTTTGAAGTATTTTAACTTTTTTGAATAATGTCTGTCCAGATGTACCCCATATAGGAATTAAATAGCTAAAAATTGATGAGAAATATGCACTGTATATTTGATGGAGTGAAGATGGGCGTAAGTAGGTTCTACAACGATAAAGGGCACTAACCATTGGAATTACTTTTTTTTCTACATGGGTGATATGGTTATTCCAGCATAGATTTTCATCAACTATTAGTCCCAGATATTTGGTATTATGGACTCTCGTTATTTCTTTGCCTCCTGTCTCCACTGTGATGTCCTGTTGTTTCATGTTTTTCTGAGAGAAGATTGTAAAAGTAGTCTTCTTTACATTGCAAGCCATCTGTGATACTTTTCAAGGTCGGTATTTACTAGTGTTTCGAGTATTTACCCTTATATACAAGAACAGTATCATCTGCGAACTTAAAGTATCTACCTATAATTTTAGCAGTTTTCAATGACAGAACATGTAATGTATAGGGTAGGGGTCCAAGGACTGAGCCATGAGGCACACCTGCTTTGGTAGTTTCAGTTTGGCTTGAAATGCCATCAACCATTGTGAATTGTTTGCGATCTAGAAGTTTTTAGTAAAGAGAGAGCATTTCCTCTTATTCCCATTTCTTCAATTTTTTCAAGTAAGATAGAGAAATAAACAACATCAAATGCTTTTCGTAGATCAACAAATTCAGCAATAATGTAGCATTTATCATCCAGTGAAGAAGCAATGTGGTTAATAATAGTGGCACTCAGGGTGCTACTATTTTCTTGGAATCCATATTGGTATGAAGGTTAAAGATTCAAGTTTCTTCAAAATGTTGGGTTTTTCCGCCGTTTCTATAAAAACACACCATTTCTTTTATATGATGGTATTTTTGACACAATCTGCGCAGGTTTCATTCAAGACGATTCAAGTCAATCAACCTTAGTGAATTCATAATTTGATGAGTGAACCTTTTCACTTCCAAGTATCTAGTAACTATTATCAATAGGTTACGGTAGCCGCCTGGTAAAAAATAAAAAGATAAATCATTCCAGTGCGGACAAATCTGAAACCATGTCTGTCTGTCTGTCCCATGATATTATTGGCAAGTAGGTTCCAAATATTTTATTAACTGAATTCTTTTTAAATGATTCGTATTCCTGTCATGCTTTCCCATAGCATTTCTCAACTTTCACTCCCAATAATCGTAAGTCAAGGGAAACTTGTTTTTTTGAAACATTTTTACTTTTTACATATACCTCTTTATAAAATTCACCTCCAATATTTTTCTATTTTCAGGAATTACTGGAAGTTACTTTGGATGCAGTGTTTACGGAACTGAGTTGAGATCACATCTCTATTTTTTTGTTTTCACCTTCTGAGGTGTTTTATTTTTAGAGGTTAATAGTACAATTTTTGTTATATGAACAATTATTATTTTAATATAATTTAGGCATAACGAGGCTTAAACGCATTTATTTATATATCTAGAATAGATTTATTTATCTTCTATTTCTAGTCAAAATGTGATTGATACTTGTTGGTACCATTATTTTCATGACCATTCACCACACTTCATTATTTTATTGAAGTATGTTTTTAACTAATGTTTTTAATAGGAAACAGTGTTGAAAAATTATATATTAACTTACTACTGAATGTTATTTAAAATATCCCAAGTTCTTAGTGTATTATCCATTACTTACCACATAAGGATACTTTATAAGCGGTAAAATAGTAGAGTTACATTAAAAAAGAAATGAAAAAAATAAAAGGGTATGAACAATAAAAATCACGTTTTCAACTCAAAGTAGTGAAAAATTATATATAACTCTTCACTGAATGTTATTTGAAATATCCCAAGTTCTTATTCTGTAACCCATGACATACAAAAAAATGGTGATGGTAAAATGAAGTGAGAGTGATATTAAAAAATGAATGAAAAAAGTAAAAGTGTATAAACAACGAAATACATTCAAAGAACAAATCTGTAATGGAAACATATCAGTATAAGCTTGAAATGAAATAGTACAAAAATTGAAATTATATTATGGCACTAAAATTGAAATGCCTATGAGAGAAAAATATATCATCAATAATAATAATCCAAGACTGTATACAAAGTAACTTCGATATGATTATTGAAACCACATTTTTTTATATATTACAATAATCAGTGTAATATTTGAAATCCTGTTGAATCATCACCACATTTCATTTATTGCAAATGATGTGTAAAATGTTTGGATAATGATCTGTAATTGAAGATAACAGGTTTGCAAAGCTCATAATTTTATTTACTTCCGTTGAATGTAACTATAATACAATGTGATATTTGATTCTCATACATTCGTTGAAGTAAGAAAAAATCCATGCTCACTAAAATTTCACAGCAGTCACTAGATTGAGAAAGAACTATTCAAGAGGATTTCAATATTTAAGTCACCAATGAAAATAGTAGTCTCTTGTAAACCTGATAATTTTGAAGAAGAAAACTTTCCAGTATTAAAAAAATGTACCTGCATATTTCAAGATTCTAGTTGCTTCGGCTGTGCGTTTATATAAATGTGTCAATCAATAAAAAAAATGTTTAAAATATATTTTTCCGTTAACCAACTGTCGCACCCCTACGATGGACAACAGTCAGAATTCGAAACTTGTGCGAGATAGGGACTAACGAGACCTTATCTTCAGCCTGCGGCTTGAACCAACGAATAACATGGCGATCGATTGAGTGAGCGAACAAAGCACCCACGTCAAATCGATTGGTAGTCGGTCGGTATTTTTTATGACTATAATTTCAAAGTGGTTTGAGGTTTATATCATGAAAAGGAAGGTAATAATGGACCAGAATGTTGAAATTTTTCGAAGTATTGAAAGTTGACGATGTTTCTTGTGGCACATTTTTGGTACCACTGTTCGAGATGTAGCTTTTGTAAATTCATTTCAAAATTTATTTTTGGGAAATGATGTCAAGTTTGAGAAAAGAAGACTTATTTCCCAACCGTGTTGGCATGACGATGGACGAATTACAAGAGGAGTTGGTTGACATAGATTAAAATATAAAAGCAATACCGTGTGATTCCGATTTTGTAGTAGACGTTTCCGACAATAAAATTGAATAAACATTGATGATGAAACTATCAGCAGTTCAAGTGACTCTGATTTGCTAATGTCTATGATAAAAGATATGACTAATGCACCTACGCTAGCGGCAAAAAGTACTTCCACATATAAACCTCCAACGTGGTCAAACTATCATAGACCTAGTGCTCCACCACACTTCATGTATCCTTTTGTGGTACCAGACTTTATTCGAAAGCTTGACAATCCAACTGCATATAATTTATTCCAGTTGTTTATAAAAGAACATTTTGAACATTTGGCCTTCCAGGCTCATTTATTTAATAATAATAAATCGGCTGGAGTTTGTGGAATTTTCAGCTCCTGGTGAGACGAATATCATCCGAAAAGAGGAGGAAAAACGGATAAAATATCGGATATTTTCCTTGGTGGTCCTTGGTGGAATGAGACCCTCTCTACTATCGAATCTTAAAATCATACCGGCTTGCCGCACTAAGGCAGAAATCTTAGCCAGACAGATGCAGAAGGCTGTCATTCTTGGCTCACTGCACTTGCTTAGGGCACATGATTCTCGGACCCAATGATCACTTGACCCACGGTGTTGGGAGTGGTCGTTGGTTGATAATGCTGACGCGCCCTCCGAATGTATCGGAGCTTCGGAGGATAGGGCCTGACCAGCGCAAACTACGGTTTAAAAAAATCGGTTTTATTGATACATAAGTCATCACCCGAAGATAATTGTGGATACCAACAATCGAAAAGTTGTGAAGTAACTTTGCTTGAAATCTCTTAATTTCATTTTTTAAATTGTTATTTTCAGCTATTCATTTCAATTATCATTTTATATCATAATAGATATTGGAGGTCCGTACTAATGAAATTCACTATGAAACATTTTCAACCACCTTCAAACAAACATGCATTTCGTCTTTGACGACTGAGCCTTTTTCCTGAAGTACGAAAAATCACTCACTAGCAGCGTTAGTAGTTCGGTAGGGACAAACACTGCCTTATCCTTAGATAAACATATGGTAAAGTACAATTAAAAAAATATGTTTTTAATAGAAGAAGATGTTCCTGGAGCAAAACTAAAATTTGCAACTGTAAAGGATAACAATGTTGTAACATCAAAACGTAGGCTTGCATTCCGTAATTGAAAAGTAACTGGAAGAAAAGTGAATTAATAGACAGGTTAGTATACAGACTCTAATAAAAAAGTAGCGGTAGCTTCTAACTGTAATAAAAGAAATTTGAAATAATTATGAATTTCAGATTTATTTCCGAGTGAAATATGTGTCAAATATAGATAGTAATGAAATAAATTTAATCAAATATAATAAACGAATATAATTTAATAAACGATTGAAGTTTCTTACATATAACCTCATTAATATATGGTTTTATAAATGTTATAAAAACACGTTTTCTTCCGGATATCCATTATTCGACGTACAATTCTCAAAACAGCAATGCTTTGTTGGTATTATACTAGCACAAAATAATTTTTTATATCACATTTATATTTTTAAATAATAAATCAATATTACCTACGTGAATAACAAAGTTTTACATGTGAATAGTTTATGTTTGTCCCTACTACTAGTGCTGCCTTTCGTGACACGTTCGCTGTACTATTCTCAGGAAAAATGCTCATTCTGACGAGCTTCATAGTTTGCGACGCTTCTCATAAGACCTAAAAAATAAGAGGCTTGAAGGCTGGCTTGTGAAATCCAACAATACGGGATAAGATCTCTAATATAACTTTTTTTTAACACCATTTCTTACTCCAGAAAATGCAACTTATACTCGTAACGACGAGGGTAGCGTAGTTTTGTTATACAAAAAAATGAATCGTGAAACGTTGAGTGAAAACCCAAAAGAACTTTGGAAAAATTTAGTAAATAACTCTAACTAAAGTGGACATAGGAACGGATCGGGTGGATGGGATGCGAAGTGAGAGGGGAAACAACTGATCAGCCAATCATGTGCGCTTTCATCAGTCGCCGCTCACATTTATTCTCAGCGCTTCGCCAGCCCCGTCCGTCTTGTGCATCGAAATTGTGAGTCATTCATTGTTGTGCGTGTCATTAAAAATGGATATAAGAAAGTAAGTAATCAAATAATTACGTGCCAACAATAATATATTCAATATCTTCTAGGAAATGATTTGCAAGTGTTGAATGAGGGATAAAATGAGTCGCTGCTGGGCTAGCTGTAGTGTGTGCCAAGCAACCCAATAAATGTGCTATTGTTTTTCTTGTGTCCGGGTGTAGGGATTGTGTCTGTTCGTGTGATAGTGAGAGATAGTCTGCGCCACGAAAGAAGTCTCATAAACCTGGCGCTAGTTTCTACGTTTATTCTTTCTTTAATATCATTTGCTATACTGGTACTACTTCAGTTCATATTGTTACGTTTTTCCCCGTGGGCTTACCAATAATTGACTAAACTGAACAACAATCCAACTTAACTTTATTTCAATTTGAATACAACAAACACTTCAACTATTATTCGAATGTACGCTTCGAGTACCGCACTGTAACTTCCACTTGACTGTGTCGATATGTTCGTGGCTAGCGTTTATATATCATGATCGAATGCGGTAGGAAATTCGCTACATCGTACATCCGCGCGGTCTTAGCTACGTCACAATCGGTTTATGGCTACCAGTGGCGGCTGGCGTTATTATTATTTAGGGAATGATTTCAACAATATCGAAGATTAAATTCGAATAATTTATTGATTATATTAGGAAAACCGCAAACTCATTTAAAATTTTTGGTCACAGTGGCCTTGTGACGTCATTTATGACTATTGCGTCACCTGTTATGACCAGTTAAGAAGCCTACATCCGTTTATTTCCACCCTCCAAATTTCATCATTATAAGTATACCCGTTCCAAAGATACGAGGGGGGGAGGGCCCTTTTGACTAGCACTGTATAATATCCGTGAACCGTTATCTATATTACATCAATTATACACACACACCAAATAACAAGCATAATTACTCTCTAGCACACCGGTACTCATAACGGTGTGCTAGATAGTAATACCAAACACCAACATAAAAAAGAATATAACCCAGTATTGCAATCCACCCACATTCGCGGTTTGCAACCTCAGATTCTGATGCTCGTCTATTAAAATTGACTGTATTCATAAGTGTACACACACACACACACAGGCACGCATACAAACACACATTTTACCTTTGTTTAGCCTAGTAACCAAAGAATACTTTCTGCTCGCTTACTTTCCTGGTGTGTAAATCGTATTTGTAATGGCGGGAAAAAGAAAAACGAACAACATTGAAAATTTATTCTCATGTTTCTTATCGGAGGCTTATGACAAGATTCATGAATCTACATGATTTTTGTCATATGTGAACATAAATAACTCTATAAATATGTCTTAACATTTTAAAAACATTCAAGAACATTTCTAAATTACTTATGTTGGGTAAGGAAATTATCTTGATTTTATTTTTACAGAAAATAACGTTTTTCGTACTAAATTTTGTGATATACTATCTATTATATAAACGTTTTCATTGAATGAAATATAATCATTTGTTGTATCTTGTTTTCAAGTACATTGAGCTAGACGTTAATGTCGATTAAAAGTAATTAAAATTAACATACCGGACATCATTTTTTATCATTTGTCAGTTTGATTGAATTCCTTGTACATATCTTGGGACAGTGATTTTGAACCCCAAAATGATAATTTTATATATATATTCGTTCAAAGTATAATCATCCTGAGCCATGGAAGATTATGCTCATCGAATATCTTGTGAAAAAAATACACACACTTCCTTTTCACACAGTTGACAATGTAGACGAATATGTTGCAGTGACTCGCAATATATTCCTCCATGTATAGAAAGTATCATTCAACAAATCCTATCTTCAGTCTTAGAATCGTTTAAAAACTGTCATTCTATTTATAAAAATAATATTTTTCTAAATATTGTACAACATACATTCATAAGTAAGTGAATTACCTATAAACAAATATATCTGAAACATTAAACAATTATTATTATTTTCTTGGATCATGGAAACGTGATATGAAGTTACATACAAAACATTATCATATTTATAATTCCACAAATCTCAAACAATTTATTTTCATAACGAGATATGTAACATCTATTAAATATCATAGATCTGTGAAAATTCAAATTGTACTGTTATAGAAATATTCGAAAAATAACAAAACAGTGTACAATAGTTATCAGTAACCGTGCTGGAATTACTTGGAATGTTTTTGAATAAAAATAAATCTTTCTAACACGAAATCTTTCATTCAGATCTTCCGTTTTGGCACAATTACGTTGACAATGGATAACGGTTTTTAACTATTATTACAATTTTATTGTCAGTCACCTTAATTTGACAATTTTTTATATGTACACACGTTAATGATTCTCATTTACCAGGTTTAATCGGTGCGTTTTTGATAGGTGACTAAATTACTTCTCTTTGATTTTTAATGCGACCGACTCGATGATATCAGTTTTATGTAAGGGTGTTACTGATGGTGACCTCTCGATGTCTGGGGTTACCGTTTCGCAGTTGGAGCTGCATGGAGTTAAAATCGTCGGAATTAAGCTGGCTATTTCTGGACTACTCATTCCGACAGTTTCTTCATACACTCGTTCCTAAAAAATATATTATTTTGAATGCTAGAAAGACCATCAAACTTCACTGTGCAAAACATTACAATAATTTCTTATAATATAAGAACCATCTTTTGTAGGCGGGCGTATGAATTATGAAGTTTTTTTCAGTATATGTCGATAGGGAGTGGAGGCTCGGCTCAACCGGTTGGCTCACTCATTGGGAGCTACAATAAAATCAATTAAGGGGAAATAGCCTAAGCTGAGGTGTGCATAGTCAGTGGAAAAACTGGTTTTTATTATCCCAGAAGTAGTTGCACTCTTCTCGTTCAATGTGATTTCATGTGTGTATTACCTTCTTAAGCAATTCAATGCAGAGCGCAACAGACTGTTGGTTGACATTGGAAGTCACAGCATTCTGGAAATGACCTCTGACTTTATGCCGCCAACTGTCAAATACGAACTGCGTTATAAAGTACTATTCCCGAGTAGAGAGGACTGGATCCTGCGGGAGAAGGAAATATTAAGAGCAGATAGTTGTTGGTTCACAGATGGATAATAAACACCTTCCGGTTCCGATGCAGGTGTTTTCAGTCGCAGACCCAGGACAGAGTTATCTACCTGCCTAGGAACTTATGCGACTGTATTTTAAGCGGAAATTTAACGCTATTGAATTATGTGCGGAGAGATTTGATAAATCCAATCTCACTCACAAGTCAATAAAAATATTCTCGGACAGTCAATCGGCTTTGGATGCTGTTGGCTCCCACCGAGCAACGTCTAAATTAGTAGCAAACTGCCAAAAAAGACTCTCCTCGATAGGAAGACTAAACAGATTGTCTCTGGTCTGGATTCCTGGCCATACTGGCCTGGAAGGCAATGAAGCTGCTTACTCTCTTGCAAAGGAGGGTGCTGCAAGCGGCTTCATTGGACCAGAACCTGTCATTGGCATCGCTTTGGCTTTGCCAAACAAACACTTAACACCAGGATGGCAAGAAGAGTTATGGACTTCTGGCAGAATCTTCCAGGATTGACTCACTCCAAGCGTTCATTCACCCTTCGAAGCTTGATTACAAACAATTGTTGGACTACAGTAGGGATGAACTACGATGGCTTTCTTAAAGGTCACTGTCATTTGAATCATTACATGCAGACATTTCGACTGTCGAAAGACAGTGTGTGTCGCCTCTGTCTGGAAAATGATGAAACTGCAGAGCATATACTTTGTGCCTGCCCCGCTGGGGACCGAATCAGGTTCTTTGAGTTCGGCAGATCCGTACTCTCACCATCTGACCTGAAAGACCACTCACCATACAAACCAATCGACTTCGTTAAGAAGCTGGGTTTATTTGGCCGAGTGTGAATAAGTGTGAGCCACAATAAACCCTTATGGGTTGCGGTGGAGGGTCGAATAAACCCACTCACTTTAGACCTACCTACCTACCTTCTTATGGGATCAGATTACAGATTATGGATCAGATTACAATGAAAAACCAGGACGAGGTAAACTCCTCACTATAAATTGAGGAAGTAGTCCTCATTAAAACAGGCGCCGTAACACAGGACCCAGATTGATCTACTAAAATCTAACTTTGACGAAGAGGCTGTCAAATCTTCAAAATATCACGAGAAATAAGATGGTAGCCTTGATGTGCACCAATAATGCCACTATGCAGTGGGAGTTATCATATGGATCTCCAAGCTGAAATAAACTGATATCCAGAAACAGAAAAATGGAAAGTGTTACAACTGGATCTTTGCGACCTCGCTTACAAAACAGGTTGAACTTCTCATCGATAAATAGGCTGAAGAGCCTGACAGGCGTAGAAACATCTGCAAAGACCAGCAAAGCGTTACGGGCAGAAATGTGTCAATAACGCATAGAAGTGCCTCAGTTGGTGGAAATTCGGTGAAAAAACCGTACAAGCGGCTCAGCCAAAATGAGCATGAAATTCAATTCTTTCAAAAAACCTCTAACAATCAAAAGAGGCTACAAGTAGGTATGCTCAGAAGGAGGTTTACTAAAAAATAACTCCGCTGGTTCAAGAGACACGAAGAGTATATACAAAGACTCGCTATAAAATCTTGTCAGTCGCTGTACTGGCATAAACATGACCAATCAAGAACAGCATCACTACCCATTTCGAAACTAGAGATTTGGTAACCATCAATGGCAAAGTAATAACTGATGCCGTCAAGAAACAGATAATCATCGCCTCGATCTACTTCCCAGGCTACTCGTTAGCACTCAGATGAAATTCATCGGATGGTATCAGAAAAGTAAGAGGTATTTCAGTTTGAACTTTGATGCGATTACGCATCATCTCACATGGAATAAGACAAATGAGAGATGAGTACTTCCAAGAATATTTCTCTGCAACTTATATAGAAATTATAAACTGGGCATATAAACCCACCTTCATAAATGCCAAAAGGAAAGAGGTATACAATCTAATCCTTGATAATGACTTTATTTTAAATTCTATTAATAATTTGCATGTGTTCGATAAGTGCTCAAATATCAAACCATCGACTAAAAATCATGAGACACACGTTTGGAGAAATACAGAATACCCAAATTGATTGACTGGCATGTTTTAGAGCAACGTGTTAGGAAGGAAATTGACTCTTGTCAAAGTCATGTAAAGTTAGTTATTTTGAAAAACATAAATCTTATCAAAAGGGACATATCTGGGTGTAATGAAATGTTGGCTTAGCTTGAGAAAGTTAGATAACTATTGAGTCTAGAATGGTGGAAGATACTATTGTTCAGAAGACTGAACAATAGCACTGATCGAATAAATAAATAACTTGAGATCCAAGCGAAGAACTTGGAGATAATTATGTTTCCTAGCTTGAATATAGTTGTGAAAAAAAAGCCGTGAGGTGTTCAACTAGATGAGTTCATGAAAAGAGGAGGAGGAGGAGGTTTTGAGTCCACAATATTCGATTTACCAACAGAGAATTGAAAGTGTTCCAAATGAATTCGTCAAACAATTGGCGCGTAAAACTGACATTTCTATAATCAATGGAAATTTCCGTCCAGTTTACAAAAAGTATTCTTTGTTGTTTCTTACAGATTGAAGAAAAATGTAAGATACATTAATGCTGTACAAATTATTCAATAAACGTGTCGATTGTCCTACGTTGATAACAAAAATATCATTGAATACACCTTGCATAGACTTGCGAAACCATGATCTCTTTGCAACCCCATTTAAAAAAACCAATTCAAGAAAAAACTCTCCTTTATGCAAAATTGTCAGATCCTTCAATACTCATTGCAATGATATTGAATCAATGAGGTTACCTTTCCTTAGATTTAAAAAGTATGTGAAATCTATTTTTATTTATAATTAGTTATCGGTTCTTCATATACTGTTTATTTAGTTTTTTGTTAATATTCATTACTATATAGTGTAATGTATTTAGCATTTATATTTTGAGTGCACTCACTATCTTTCATATGTAAAATGAGGATATTTTTTTGGATTTATTCTGTTTATATCCCTATTTGTGTAATAAATAAATAAATAAATAAAGGGTTAGCGGAAAGAATATTCGAAACACTACGAATCAAGTGAACAATGGAAAGTTTCTAATCTGTGATAGTGTATATACCAAATACTTGTGAATGTCCTATGTATCATAAAAATTATACTTAACCTCTTTTCTCCTCAATGCAATAAGGAAAAAAATGAATTCGAAGAGAATATCTATCAGATAGACCACTTTACAAAGAGACATTTTCCTATAAGGCGAGAATATTCACAATCAATGGTTCACATGGCGTCGTTGAAGTCACTGAAAATACTTTTGTGTTCCATAAACTGTTCTCTGCGCCTTTATTGGTACGCAGAGGGGCATTCGACATCACTCACATGAACTCTTAGATCCCCAGAGAGACGAAACATGCATCACACACTGAACAGGTATAAAATAAATCTTCAGAACAGACTTGTAGTAGCTAGTCTTGGAGAAGATACAATTCATGTGACTGTGGAAAAGGACGGGATTTTTTCTGTGCCTATTAAATGTCGAAAATCTGATAATGAAGCAGCACGAACAAGGCCTCATGATCTAATCATCAACATAAGCGAAAATATCTCATACCTCATGTAAACAGCTCATCCAAAGCTGAATGGCAAACAAAGGACTCACAAATTTAGTGCCTACTATTATGGAATTTTAGTACAGAAAATTACAGCACAGCGTGAAATTTCTAGAGGTATATGAGGTTCAAATCAAAATGAACTACTGAACGCATCATGCGGCCCTCAAACCTATGAATACCTACTCGTATGCCTCATTGATATGATGAAAATGGAACAACTATCGGGTTAAGTTACGAAATTGCAAAATAACTCGCCTGTTTGAGAATCACAGGTATAATTTTTACGTACATTACAGCTGCTTAAGAGGTGATGTTCAACATTCCTTCATTATAATCGAGTAATGAAAGAAACAGCAATAAGTGTAGTCTATACGAAGTCAATTCGAATGGCATATAAACTAAATATTTACCGAACGTCGACAGTTTCTTTGTATGGCATGGGCGGCGTCGTATAATACAGCGTCTAATCATCATTTTTAAGTGTGAGATTTCATATGGTAGCTATTGACTAGTTAATTTATCAGACCCGGTATATATGTCTTTTATTTAGCTGTTCGGATTGATTTCGTATATATTATACCTTAAAAATTAATTTAATTATTCATTCACATTTCAAAATATAAATTTCTTGGCAAATTGTTTTTGTTTGAAGGATTTTTTTTACAATTATAGATCAATAAACTCAAAGTTTTTGTGAATTTTTTGATTAACAATATATAACATTTTAATAGAATTAAAAAATAGAAGGTTCAACTCAATTACAAGTTTATTTATATGAATACATTCTCTTGTATATCAATATTCATAATACTTAAAATGTATAAGTGTTTGCTAACATACGAATACAATTAAAAATATGAAACAGAAAGTACACCTGTGTGGACACCTGAAAATAACCACCAGACACCTCATAGGAGCCGTAGGGAACGCAAGGTGTATTTACTTATAACTTGAAAATGGATAAAACAGTTGGTTTGGGAATGGCAGGACCAGGATTCGAACTCTTTTGGTTTCTTGAAATCACTCCCAACATCTTCCAGAAGTGTATGCTAGAGTCGTGGGCTTGGCGATGTCTCATAGTACAATTCCAGAAGTGTGTGCTATAGAGTCGTGGGCTTGGCAATGTCCCATAGTACAAGTATCTATACAGTGCGCAACATAAGTGTTACCCCCCTATTCAACTCATCACTGAACTCTTATTAGGAAAATCGCTGAGATACGTCGATTTCTGATTTCTTCAGTGCACATTTTTGTGTGAATAGTTCACCCCTAATTTCATCTTCCACTGGAGTGGAGCAACCCTGTTGAAAAATTTAAATAGCATGGGGTGAAGAGTGATAGCTCATTTGAAAGAGGTTTTTTTTCTCTTTTCAACCGTGCAAAGAATTATACCAAAAACAGGAAGGCAATGAAACTAACTGAAACTTTTTCTGTTATTACAGTAAATGTTCAAAATGTTTCCCATTGACCTCCTGGCAAAAATATACTGTATTTTCACTTTCAGTACTGACTCTTTGCAAAATATCGAGAGTAATTGTTGCATACACTTCCATAATCCGCGCACGCAACTCCTATATGGAGTAACACTGAGTCTCGTACACTATAGATTTCAGGTAACTCCATAGGAAAAATCCAAAGAAATTAGATCTGGTGATCTTGGATGCCATTCCACAGATCTTTGGCTCCAGGTCCATCGTCCTGCATAAATAGTATTCAAATAAGTCCTCACAGCAACTGCAAAATGAGGAAAACCTTCATCTTGTTGCAGAATATTGTCCACGTCAAATTCATCTAAATTATTTTCGATAATTGCCACTATCAGTGGATCTACCACTATTTCCAGAATTTCTAAATAGAGGGTACCAGTCAGATTTTTCTCAATGTCAACCAGAATTCCTGGCCAGACATTAACTTTTTGGGAAAACTGGGTAGGTATGATTTTTGCGAAAAAGTCGACGATTTTCATCAGACCAGTACCTCACATCACATTTTGTCTATACACGTGACCGTTTGAAAAAAGTAGCCTCATCACTGATTTGGCAAAATATTGTTAGAGACAATTTCACAATATTCTAGGTGGTGGTCTGGATCATCGTCCGTCAGTTCAAGCACCATTTTTATTTTGTAGGGATGAAATTAATTTTTTCAGAACTCTCAATACCGTCATCTGCAAAATCTCACAATTCAAGGCAACTGTTCTACTCGATGAGGAATATGAGGATGGCTTATTCACATTCGCTCCTAATGTCCACTTGGTCATGTTCCCCTGTAGTTAATCGCCCAGAACGTGTTTTATTTTGCACACTGCCGATCTAATAAAATAATTACACTAACTGTTTGAAATAATATCTATCAATAGGGCGATCTGGAAAACGTTCATTGAACATTCGATGAGCCCCATCAAAATTAACAATCGCTTCGCATTTATCATTTGACGCACTTAGTGTAACCATTACGTTTGTACTGGTTCTCAGTTTTACTCTTTCGAATCGTCCAAAATCAGTGAGTTAGTTGTGGACTGAAAAGGTTCACGCGACAAAATGTTCAGTATTCAGTTGGGTGATTGTTTTCTGACTGTTAGGAACCGACCGGACAGAGAACCACATCAAACCTATTGTTTGAAGATGAATAGCAAGCACAACTAACATCTAGAATACGCTGACTCGCACTCTCCGTGTGATCAGTTTTCTACGTTGACCATTTATCCTCAAACATCCAAAAACGTGCAGTTAATACATATGCAGATGACAGATACGTCTCACTTGACGTCTGGACCAAAACCGATATCATACAGGTCCGAATTTTCAATTCTAAGGGTGATTGAACTACGTTAATTGTCGTTATTCTTAAACAATCATAACTCTTGAATTAATGCAGCAAATTTCAATTCCTTTGCACGGTTGAATAGAGAATAAAAACTTCCTATCAAATGATCTATCACTCACCACTCCATGCTATTTAAATTTTTCGAAAGGGTCACTTCCCTCCAGTGAGGAATGACACTGCATTGTAGAAATGAAAAATCAAAGTAACGAGTTTGGGGGGGGGGGGGTTGTACTCATGAAGCTCACAGTATATTTTATCAGATAGTCTAGTATTGAAAGTTATGATGTCATGTAATTCTCAGTTTGAACTGACTTGGCACTTGGAAGAGTCTTCAATTCAATTGACAAGATGAAAAAAAAAACAAACCTTATGTAGGTACCAGGTCAGAAAACGGAATCGAAGGAAGAAAAAGCAAGCTAATATATTCTTTAAATATTGAAGGAATTTATTTTGAATATTCACTTGATTCATTTAAGGAATGACTAAATGAATAAATTGAGTGAGTATTTTGGTTTATGCATGTCAATTCATTGAATAAAGCTAATGAATTTCATTCTTTGGTTCAGAAAAATCATATAAGTTACCTGAGACTTGTCATATTTGAGCCTCTTCCATATAAACTTTCCATTATTTGGTGGTACTGAACTGGGATCGGCGTTTGGCGAGTAGTAATTGGGATTGGAGAAACTTCTGCTGGCTCCGTAAACATATTTCTTCTTTCCTTTTTTGATCAGCAAAAATACTACCAATATTATACAGACAAGTATTATGAAAAACATTGGTACCATCGTCATTATATAGAAAGTGTTGGAGTTATTTGCCGTCTTCGTTTCTGACTCCTCGTCGAATGGGTTAGGAAGATCAATTTCCTCATAATAATCGCCTTCTTCCTCGTTGTCGCATTTGAAGTTACCTTCCGAGGGACATTTCGAAGAAACTACATAATTTGGTTCTGAAAACGAGATTGAATTTTGAAATACGACATCAATGAAACTCTGAAAAATCAGTTTTTGTTTAGGATTAAAAAATCATGATTTTCTTACAAAAAATTCAATGTTGCTGACTTTGCTGTTTTTCATTTATTATCAATTGTATATTTTTCGATACATGAAAATTACTACATGAAACTACATAATTTGTTTATGAAATCGAGATTGAATTTTGAAGTACATCAATCAAACTCTGAAAAATCAGTTTTTGTTTAAGATTAAAGAATCATGATGTTCTTACAAAAAATTCAATGTTGCTGACTTTGCTGTTTTTCATTTATTATTGATTGTATATTTTTCGATACATGAAAATGACTTTGGATGATTTCAAAAATTGTTTCTAGGTTCCCATTCCATTCGGAATGGTAGACACTTTATGAAAACCATCAAGTGACGTTGAAAGAAAACGAGAGAGACTAGAATATAATGATTGAGGAACAAAAAAATTCATACAAGAAATGGAGAATTAGAAAGCCAAAACCTTTTCCAAAAATTAATCTCTCCTGAAAATATACCCCAATAGATTAAAAAAAATCAGTTATTATTTCATAAATGAATAAGTATACAAAAGTCCACTGTGAAAATAATTTTGAGCAATTTTTCATTCATTCATGCTTTTTTAAAATTATTTTAGGCTTTCGTCAATGCCAAGGAAATTTACATGAAAACCATGATAATTTCCTAACTTGACGGTTACTTGAATTTTGTAAATCATTTGGGAGAGTAATGGCCATTACTCGCTCGAATACTATACTTTTTATGACCTAGGGATGAATAATATTTCAAAAAAAAGATTCATTTGTGAACAAAATAATCATCAGTTTTTGGGTATTTTCAGATTTTATAACTGCATCTATTTGAATATTACTGGAGTTTTATCTCAACACCAAACCAATATTTTAACACCTCGACACGTGATTCGATCATCTTCAAGAAGAAGATTAAACTAAAAATACGTACCAACAATGTACGATGCAACATATTATGGACAGACAGGAAGATCTATCAAAATAAGATATAAGGAACACATAGCACACCTAAAATATGGAAGACCAGAAAAATCAGCAGTCGCCCATCATATTTTGCAACAAAACTATTCCATAGAATTTAGTTCATTAAGATTAGTTAGACAAGTTAACAATAACAGGCATCTAGATGCCTATGAGAGTGTAGAAATAAGTGAACATAATAATATTATGAATAACGATGGTGGACCAATAGCTTAATAAAATAATTATCAGATTTACCTGACAGGAAAGTTACAGGAAATGCTATATATTTGAAATAAATATTAATAATAATGGAATATAGAAATGTATAAAAGTAAATGCTGAAACAAAGTATATATAAAATATTCGTATACGTAAAATTTCAAAAGAGGAATGAAAAATTATTTATAGTATTATTAAAAGTGATTGTGGATACAAGATATCAAAGCGTTCAGAGAGTCGAAATGAATATCGCAGTGTTCACAGATTTTATTGGAGCTACTGCACATAAAATTCAATGGTGATCGTAGCATAACATTTGTGCGTGATGCTTCGCAATAGAATTTCAGATTGTGTCGAGCTTCACTTCTTGATACTAAGAAATTGATCTCGGGTAAAAGAATGGTACTGTCAATATTGTTGTTTAGTAATTTATGCAGGAATTTTATAAATACCAAGGCGTTCAGAGAGTCGAAATGAATATCGCAATGTTAACAGATTTTATTGAAGCTACTACACATACACAATTCAATGGTGATCGTAGCATAACATTTGTGCTACAATCTGAACGGCCTTCGTTTCTTGGTACTGAGAAATTGATCTCGGGTAAAAGGACCATACTGTCAATATTGTTGTTTAATAATTTATGCAGGAATTTTATACAAAGGATAACTCTACTATTTCCAAAGTTGTCATATCAAATCGTGTCAACAAAATGTTATGATCGATGTCTCTCGTGGGGTATTGTACATCAACTTTTAGACATAAGTGTTTTAGGAACTTCCCAATGTGGCAATACTTTTGAAGTTTTTACCATTTCTGCAAACGAATACAAGCATCCTATTTGCATTAGCAGTAATATTCCTTATATGTGTTGTAAATGTTAATTTAAATGTTATATGTAATTTAAATGCTCCACCAAGATCTTTCATCTCATGTACGTAATATTGTTCGTATTTTTAGTTTAGTCTTCCTCTTGAAGATGATCACTTGGTGATCGAGATTTTAAAATAACGGTTTGGTGTTAGGACAAAACTCCACAAGAACATCTATTTGGCTATATACGATTCATTGAAAATAGTTGACTGAATTTTATAGTATATTTATAGTATATTGGAATTGATTCTTTAAAGTGCCATAACTTTTTCATCTATAAACCGGTGTAATGAATCAAACACTAAATGTTAAGTGAAGCTTACCGAAAACATATATTAGTGGATATCACACCTAAATCGGTAGAGCCCTTTTTGACTAACATAGTTAAACAGACAAATATTCTAAAAATCATTGTTTTGGGTTCTTATGCGATAATTAATAATATTTTTCCGAACATATCCTCGATGTTCAAACGGCGATCAATTGAACTTTCATCATATGTATATGTTAATATTCCTTTTATTGATTGAAAAAATTGATTTGTATCTGTAATATTTATATAATTGAATATTATATATCTACCTGTTTTACATGTAGGATCGTATTTCTCTGGACACCCACATGTATAGTTCCTCAATCTAAATAGACATAAATGTGTACAACCTCCATTGTCAACTGCGCAGGGGTTCCATCCCAATTGCCTTTTTTCCGTAACCATCGTTATACCCATAGCACCGTCCAGTTGTGGTCTTACTGTAATCGCATCTTTACCTGTCGTTTTTTCTGCTCGAATGACGGTTTTTTGTCTCCAGTCAGTCCAATATATGTACTCCTCAAACTGAAAAAATATAAAACAAATTAACTAATGAGATTGACTTTGATTTTCACTATAAAAGGTTCACAAAACTGCGACACGTGTTTCGCTATATAACAGCTTCTACAAGCAGGATTTTGATCCTACACCAAAAATTTAAAATTTGGTGGCTTAAGTTTTCCCTTCATTAAGTATTGACCAATTTCATCAAATAAGTCTAACATTTTCTCTTCATACTGATTGTTTTATTGCGTTTTGAAAATGCTTCGTTTGGAATGTCGTCTATTTTAAAATCTTCATCTCAAGTGATATCACCCAATATCAAAGATAAAGAAGAAATAGTGAACTGATTTGCATTAAATAACAATTAAAAATGAATTATTCAGAATACTGATCAAATTAGTCCAACAATAAACAATTTGTGTATACATTCCTTCGAAAATCATAAAATATTTAATAAAGTCATTGAAATTATTGTAATATACTAAAAACGGGAATGCTGGGGACGACAAAAAACTATATTCACTGCCATTAATTTCAAATTGAGCTTAGTTACCCCGATGGCCCAAGTAACCCTGTTTTATGATACCAAATTATCATTCAAAATATACGAATATATAGCATATGGTATGATATTGTGGGGCAGTTCCACCAATTCAATAAAAATATTCAAACTCCAAAAAAAGACGGTTCCAACTATAGCGTTTGCAGTTTACAAAGACCACTGTGGCCACTATTCCAAAAATACGATATAATGACATACTTTTTTATAATCACTTGCTTAGGAAAGTTAAATCTTTGTCCCCCAATTGTTTCAATCAAAAGATGAAACAGTTCCTCATCAGCTCAAGTTTCAACACTATTGCATAATATTTAGACACGCCCTCCCCCCATTCGTATGAGAATGTTCAGATATTTAGTTTTTTTTAATATCTTTGATCGTATTTAAGTTATTAATGTCTTATTGAGTTTGATTGTTCATACTGTATATTCAGTGTTTCTGACTGACTTCATATTTTTTTTTCCTTCTGGAAATACAAATGCAATTTATTTTCAAATAAAATTTTTGTAATACGACTTGCTACAAATATAAATTACATGAACATAGTCAAATAAAGTATATCTATGACTATCAACATTAACTTTGAAATTGGCTTCTCACCTGTGTCAGTGAAAATGGATGCGTGGCTTGAATATTCAGCATGACTCGATTATATCCGTGCAAGTCTGTCGTTTCTATTTTTTCTGCATTTTGTTTTGCGTCGATCCAGTACAGCCTCCTACCAACGTAGTCTATGCATAAACCTATCGGAAAAGTCATTTCATCGCTGACCAAATTCTTCCTATTCGAACCGTCCAGGTGTGACCTTTCTATTTTTGGGGCTCCCCAGTCTGTCCAAAATAAAAAGCCTTTCTTTGGGAAAACCGCTATAGATCGTGGATCATGGAGAAAATCTTTAATGATGGTTTTGCGGTGGGATCCATCCAGTCTTGCTACTTCAATGATTTTGTTACCTGTATTAGTCCAGTAGATGTTGTTGGCGATCCAATCAACAACTAAGCCATCCGGAGCGGATATGTTTATGCTGGCGATAGTTTTGATTTCCGATAAGTTATACATGGAAACGCTTTGGATGACGTTTCGCCCGATATCAGTGTAAAAAATCAACTTTTTTTCCCAGTGGAAATCGACGTCTATAACATTGTGAATTTCTTCTATGGGCAGAGTAGTATCCCAAGCGTCGTCGGTATCTAGGCTGATCTGACTCAGAGCGAATCTCGTGGCAAGCAAAAGGAATGTTTTTGGAATCAACTCGCATTGTTTGGTACTTAGTTTGGATTTACTAATGCCTGTGGGACAAGCGCAGCTGTATGAGTGAGGATTTCTCAGACATAAATGCGAGCATCCACCATTATTTTTTCCGCAAGCGTTTTCCGCTATATTATCGCTTTGTACCGATCTAACATCCATGAGTCCTTCGAGTTTGTCTCGGATTGTGGTCGGATCTGCCCCGGTGTTTTTGTCTGCTCTGTGTAGCGCCTTAGTTTGCCAGTCAGTCCAGTAGATGTGGTTGCCTACGACCACTAAGCCATATGGGTGCTGTACGTCTCTTATTACAAGTTTACGGTCTTTTCCATTGAGTTCGCTAGACTCGATTGTGTTTAGTTTGGCGTCGTTCCAGAACAAACGGTTAGATGGGCGATCGATAGCTAGGCCGTTGGGCCAGTTTAGGTTTTTAGATATGAGGGTTTTCCTGAAACAAAAATTTGTCATAATTGCTTTGTAAGGAATAGTCAATAGGAAACACATACCAAATATACTGATACCAAGACTTAAACTCAAACTAGACATATGAAGACATTAATTCTTCGATACTATGAATTCATTTTTCTACAAGAAAATTTCTGATGTTGGGTTTGAGAATAAATAAAGTTTTAGACTTTTCAGTGGCGCATGACAAGTTGAATATGTGGGAAGTCGAGAGACTGTTTTTCTTTTTTCTTCTGTGATATGTTTTGTAGTTTTGTTGGTGCAGCACAATTTGAAAATATGTAAAAGCATTTACACAATAATCTTGGGAATTCAAGTTACATTTATGCGTATTAGTTTTTTATATTGATAATATCGATAATTATGATAACAATAATAGTTATTCCAAAACGAACACTGTTTTCAGTGACCAGAACCGCAACACTCTTCTCAACGCACGTTTCACCAACCAGTTTCGCGTTTTCAGGAGATGAATAGTCTACGTCATTCCCTCAAGACGTCGAATTTTCCTCCCGAATTTTCCTCCCGATCTTTACAAAATATAAGATGTAATTTACTGATACTGGTTACACCACAGTTACATTACTGATGTTGAAATCTGATTGATACCGATTTTTTCATATTCAGGAATAGGTTGTTCGCAGTGAACCGTTTGTGTAGATTTTTGAATATCTGGCCACGAATTAAATCCGCTTGATTAGACACTATAACTGTTATGCCGTCTGCATATCCAATACAATATACGTCTTAGTACTGATCCGTGAGGAACCCCAAGGACTGAAATTTGTCCATTGTCTGAATAAACACCTAGTTCGCCTCGACACATTTCACAATCTCACTATAGCAGAATATTTAGCTGTGATAATGGATATTTGCTGAGAAAACCATGCTGGAGCACTGAAAATATAGCAAAAAGTAAGTCTTTCACGATAAACATACTCGAATAATTCAGAAATATTCCAAATTATTTTCCATCGTGAAAACGATAAAAAGAATAAGGGGTCACAAATGGAATTAGTCTCATGATTGTGTCGAAAGGAGATACATATGACAAGGTAATATATATTTCGACTATAAATTCAAAATATTCACCTCTCACAAGTTCTCACACAGTGTAATTCTGCAAAAGCCTATCAAAAACAAGTATATTCCTGACTATACCACGACGGATATTGGCTTACAGATTATATGCAGGTGTTTGCCAGATGTTGCTCTATAGAAACATTAACGTTTCATATATTCATCTGAAGTATTCATTTTCTATTTTTTTTAAATGTAATTCAATGGGGAGTAGCTGTTTTCCGTCAGGCGTTTGCTACATTCTGCTGAGTAGGAAAGCTAGGTGTAGGTGAATATTTCGAATTTTAATTTAACACAATTATTTTCTTGGCATGACAAATGATAAGAAAAAAAGGCATACTTTATTCAAAATAAACCTTGTTTTAATTTTTCAGCGTGTTTCGCCTAATTTCTACTGTCATTGTGAAAAGTGTACCTAATTTCAATTATTTGCGCCCTTTTGACAAATTCTTGAATTCCACATCTTGAATAACAAATTGGAAACCTTGCTGAATGTAACTCATTCATGAAAGTTCACTTTCCCAATTTACTAATTGTTGAAAGATTCCTCATTTCTTCCGTTTTCAATGTTTCTTTCTCCCTCTCATTGTGTATACTTTTTGATTAACTGTGGTTATATACGAGGGCTCTACAATCTCCAAAATAACACTCCATCATATACATGTTCAAATGCCAGTTTACAACACTTCTTACATCAAATTCGAACCTTTTTAAATTTTTTCAAGGCTATTATAATAGCAGACTGGACTCTTATTATTCATTTCACTGTAACGTTAAATTCATAAATACAAAAAAAATACTTCTCAATGCAGAATCACTGCACTGAACAATTTTTTAAAATTTATTTCTGCAACTGATCTTTTGTGACTGATTTTTGGAACTGATTATATTTGAAACCATGTCGAACTTCAACATGATTGTAAAAACAGATGTTCGGTTTGTTCAAATCAATTTCAGGAATTGGAACACGCGTTTATTATATTTGATGAATTATTCTTCGGTTTATATTTTCTCTGAACTCCCCACGACTGTTAAACTTGTCAAATTCATCATAATACATATTTTCGTTGTGTTGACCTCGATTTCAAAAGATGGATTCTTAGTTGTCCCGATTCATAAAACTTTCATCTGAAATTATTTTCCGTTTTTTTTAACAAAAAAATATTTTCTTGACGTTTTTGAAAACACAACAGAAAACACGATGGCAAAATTGCCATATTTCATTCCTTAATTACATCCACGCCTTGTTCACAATTATATATATGTAGCATCAACGAATTCCTCAGCGTTACCGGAATTCAAAGCTATCAAGGCTCTATTCCACACTGATGTACTCTATTAACAGGGTTTTACCTTTCAACATGTATTTTTTGCATGATCACATCGAAGGCATTTAAAAAAGCCGAAATAAGCCTCAAAGGCAAACTATTGTGAATTTTTGAGGGAAAAGACGATGTCTTTGAGCAACTTTTTTAGTCCTTGATCTTTTGTTGGCGTTCGATATCATGAATGAAGGTACCGATTGAATTGATAAGGTGTTTTGTAAGAAAAGAAACACCGTTATCTTATAAAAAAACCATGGAAAAATGTAGAAACAAGGTTTACACCCAACCAGCATTGCTGAAATGGGACCTACTGAAATAATAATAACGAGTTTTGTGGATACATGTACGGAGGAAGTAAATACTCGTGAAGTAACCATTGTATTTGGTATCAGATTAAATGATGATGATTTATATGTTTTATACCAGCAGACTTTGGTCTCATCATTTTTATGATGAGGAAAAGTTAGTTATGCAATAAAAGGCACTTAAACCAAGATGCATGAAATATTCCTGATGTGATCATTTGGACTCCTACCTTCGTAAATATTTTGTCAAAAACTCTCGACGGCACTTCCGATGAAGAAATAATAAGAAGATCCAATAAATGTCAGCACTTCATTCACAGAGGTGCTGTGTACAACCCAGCTGGCACCGCAATTTTCAATGTTGTACAATTGGAAATAAATTGGTATTGGGTGAGATATTTTTCTACATTGTGGTTCCTAAATTGGAAATCTGAAGGAAATACGCGCGACAGATTTCGATTCTTGCATCATATATCAATATAGGTACGTACAAAGTTGGGTAAATATCACATCGGGAGTTCACACTGGTGTTTTGTTAACAACAAAAGCGAATCGATGAAAACATCAGGGTTTCTATGCGTCTTTATCTGAATAATAAAAAGAGAATTACAAAATGGCGTCAGAACATAAAAAAAAACAAACTTTATACTAGGCCAACATTGCAGTTTCCTACTTCTGTCTCTTGGTTGGTTGGCAGAGTTAACACTCGATATATATTTCATTGAGATATTAAAATTATATATAGATAACTGAGTAATAAAAGTCAGCGATATCGCAACATTTTCAATATGCACATGTTCCATACATCAAATTTTTAGAAGCTGACATAGACTCCCAGAACTAAAACTCAAGTTTCATGCCTAGACTTGATAAACAAGTCAATGTAAGTTTGACGTAAACTGTTAAAAGATATTCCAAAACGTTTAATACGAGCAGAATAATCGACTTATGAAAAAGTAAAGGTCTTATAACGGAAGTTATGAAAACTGCAACCCTGTCGGTTGCTGCATTTTGGAATTTTGAAATGTCATATGCCCTTGACCTGATCCGTCAAGTCTTTTCCATTTTATCTTCAAATTTTGGGCCATGTCTGCAAAATTTCTCGGCCAGTGTTACATGCCGCTGAACTTCTTTTTCTAAGCTACAAGGAAGTTCCTTCAACATAAAACGAATTGAGCGACTGTTAGTTAGTTTAGTTTAGATCAGTAAGCAAACCATTTATAAAATAAACGGTGTAACGTTCTTTGAATGAATCTCTGGGTTTCACCTTACAGAAGCATGTGCACCTGTACGTCCAATATAAATATAAGACGTCAATTGAATAACATGCTTCCCAAATTGCTAATAAAATGAAATTATTACTTTTTCATAATGGATGAAAAAATTTCCAATATTATAGGTTGAATATTGATCATTTTAGTGTGAAATCATTCAAATATAAATACCTACGCTCCACTACTGCTTACAGTAGGCGATATTTTTGCTAATTGCTTCCTAGTTTTCGAAATTGGTTGTCTCAATTTCATTGATCATTCGATTATTCTATGTACTGAAATATTGAATTGTCATTTTTTTTTGGTATTTTATTTTATCTTTGAATTGAAACATTTCAGAAAAAGTGAATATTGATGTTTCAGGTTATTTCGAAATATCATCGCTTATCTAGTAGAAAATAATGATTATTTTGATGTCTAGTTGATTACCTATTAGTTCCATCCATGTAAGCCACTTCAATTTTGCCTTGTTTTCCCCAATCTGACCAGAACATTAACCCATGATGGTAATGTAATGTGATTGCTCTGGGATTATCCAAATCTCTGTGAAAAAGTACTTTCCGGTTCTTTCCATTCAGTTCTGCAACTTCGACACTATTTCTTTCACCGTCGGTCCAGTACATCTATGGAAACATTTTTATCAGTGTTCTGTAAAAATGACTATCTTAGGTTTTTACCTTTCTTCCAGTTGAATCGATCGCTATTCCATCAGGAGCTTCCATCTCATTCATTATTATCACCTCCATATTTGTACCATCCGGAGCAGCTTTCTGAATTATGTCTCTTGCGGTGTCTGTCCAATATATCTCCCCAGTTTTTCTGTCCACGTCGACAGAAGTAGCTTTTTTCAATGGTGGTAGGGGCATTACAACATCAACCATGTATGGCACGTCCAGAGATATCTGTCTGATGTCCATGCGATGGGCCATTATCAGAAAGTTAACAGGACCGTTTGCACAAGATTTACCATCATCCTGAAATTCAGATATATTTCAAATGATATTTTGACAACAAATAACATTTGCAATTTTTGTGAAGAATGAAAATGAATGTAATGTTGAACCGTGCATAATGCTATTGAACCAACGCGAAAACTGGATTAGATTCACTTCATTATAGCTAGATGAGCCCATAATCGTTTCATGCATAATTCAGATCGGGTGAGATGTTTCAGATAAAAAAATTCTGTAAATATGAGAGATGATTATCAATGGTGTTTTTTTTTTATTAAATTCAATAAATCATTACATGGTTTGAAAGAATTACGGAGAAAGTGACATGAGAAACCCAATGGTTTGGAGTTCTGATGATCTTTGGAAATAATTTCAATTACACGCTGTAGAGAGTATTACTGAAAGAACATTTTCAAATATGTCACCATATATATCACCATATATACACACACCGTTTTTTCACATGTTACATATTTTAATTCTGCTAATTACTAAATGGAGACTCTAGTTTCAGGTTCCTAAGTTTTTTCGACGATAGTAAGGGGAATCGTTACGTAGATTTGGCCAAACTGCTTGAGATTGCCTTTCAATGATTTTAAAGTGAATGATATTTTGAAACCTGCTAAAGTCTGAGCGCGTGTGCCATCCCCCATTTTTTAATGCAAATAGGAATCCAATGATAACCGAAAAGATGTTTCGATTTCCAGTCAATTGTAGCTTTTCCTTCAAAATACGTCCTCTCCTTTACAATATATGATGGTTTGCAATCCCAACATAAGGCTTTTTTTAAATGCAAAAATGAAATGGCTAGAGGTACGAAGTTTAAGGTCATCCATTCGAAACACGAGGCTGACCTTACAAATATGCCTCCCGTTTCCGGGATTACCTATACCTCCGAGTTATTCTTAGCGTAACAGATCATCGAAATTGTGAAACGCAGAAAAGAAAGGGACTGAGGAAGTTGCACTGAAACACGACCCTTTTAAAGTTGATTCATAGTATTTGAACTCCAGCTACAATAGATCGATGTCTATGTAATGTCTAGACGTTTCACGATTCGTTTCAATTAGGCAGTGGGAATGATGAGTATTTACGAGGTAGAAATGAAACCTCTGGCGTGGAAGGAATCCAATACGAACACACTTCCACACAACTTTGGAATGCCTTTTCCGAAGTGCATTTCACATCACTACCTATAGGTGTGAACTATATAGATGTCAATGTTTTGGTTGGTTTCCGGGTTTTGCCGTAGTTTTCTTTGGGTACAATCTCCAAATTTTCAACTGCAACAATCATCTTCAATGGCGTGGTCGAAGTACTATTTTTGACGTATGAACTGAAACTTAAGTTCTCATTTCTGCCATGGCATTTATAGTGCTGATTTTTCACGCACACTGTGTGCCATATTTCTCGTAGATATGTTTTCTCTATCTTCTGTTGAAGTGCTCTTGGTGTTTGTGTATTTCTATGGCTTCTCAATACATTTCTGTTGAACAATGATTCGATATTGCTAGCCTCCCGGTATTTTGGAAAAGGATCTTGTGTTTCCCGTTGGACAGTGCATGTTCAGCGAATGCAGACTTCTCTGTCTGTCCCAATCGGCAACTCCGCTTGTGCTCGACTAGGCGGGTACCAGTGCATCTTTTCGTTTGACCGATATAAACTTTATCACCGTTACATAGATTCCTGTAAACTTCCGCTGATTTGAGTGGATCTCTGCTGTCTCTTGATGATCTCAGAAACTCCGATATCTTCTTTATTCACCTTCTACCTTCTATGTATGACAAATAGACAGTGCCTCGGGGTTGATCTTCCCAGGTATTTCTTTTCTTCTTGGACGCTTAGCGCCTGGTATGTCTTTTCTTACCGCGCTACGAGAGAAAAAACATAATATGCCCTACGCGCCCAAGGGAGAAGAAGATAAACACCGGTGAAGATCAATTACATACATAGAAAGTGTCACCAACCGAATCGGGAAAATTCTAAGCCGCAAAATTAACACCGTCTTCGAATGAATGAAAAAAATATCGAAGATCAGCAAAAGACAGCAGTGGTCCACTCAAATCAGCGGGAGTTGCCGAATTGCCGATTGAGATAAACCGAGAAGTCTGCAGTCGCTGAACATGCACTATCTGACGGGAAACAAGATCTTTTTAGAAAATACCGAGAGGCTAACAACGTCGAATCATTATTCAACAAGAATGATTTTGAAGCCATAGAAATACATAAACACCAAAAAAACTTTAACAGAAAGGAAAACAGAACATGTCTACCAAAGATTTAGCACACGACATTGAAAGTTGCCAAAACGAAGCCTTGTCACCCAAATCGCGCGGAAAGTACGCGCGAATCCGTCATTACATAGAGTGCGCGAAAAATCAGCACTATAAATGACATGACAGAAATGAGAGCTTCAGTTTCGGTTGATACGTCAGGAAGAGTACTTCGACTACGCTACTGAAGATGACTGCCGCAGTTGCAGTTGAAACGTTTGGAAATTTAACCAAAGAAGGCCACGACAAAATCCGCAAACCAACCAGAACTTTGGCAACAGGCTATAAATAGATTTCAGTTGACCTGAGAATAACAAATGTAACCAAGGCTTAGCTGGGGTATAATTGATATGTTTTTTTTTGTTGGGGTCAGTTCAGTTGCAATTTAAAACAACATTCTTTGTATATATTGTATTAAGTATATTCAGTAATGTAGTCAGTTCATATCAAAGTGGAATTAATATTTTTACCTGTATACGTAAATGAGCCCTAAAAGTAAGGATCGATTCTAATACATACTTCATTATAGTGATCAACTATTCATCATACATGATCATAGAAATACGATGTCCTTGAAAATTTGACACATTATACAATACAACATTGTATTCGTTTGTAGAACGAAACTGCAGTAGCGTTAGTTACAAATACGAGTGGTATACAAAAAAAGGAAGTTTTAATTCTCATTTTGCATGATGATATCATACCACGTGGTAACGGCTACATTCATCAATTCATATTACAAATACTATCTCAAGAAATAGTAGAGCTTATTATAACAAAACACGATTCTCATTGGCTAATAATGATCGATAGTACATAGAGAGTTATGAGAGTTATGTTGAATATGTATTTCATGGGATGTATATGTTCGTGAAATATTTTCAGTAAATATATATTTTATTAAAATTTCATAATGTTCGGACCTACTCACCTCCAATTTTATTCCTGTCGGGCAGGCACATGCGTGACCTTTCGGTTTCAATAAACAGAGATGGGTACACCCCCCATTGTTATTGCTACAGGGGTGTCTGATCTGTTTCCTGTTTCGGTGGAAAACCTTGACATCCATAAGATTGATCATGTTGCTGGACAAAACGGTACGATTCAGCCCGGTCAGTTTGTTAGCCCTCTCGATATTTTTCGTTTCCCAGTCGGTCCAGTAGATGTGGTTCCCGAAAACATCCAGACCAAATGGGTGTGGAATGCTGCTACCGGCTGAGGAGAACGAATGTTGTAATAGCTCTTCGTCACAGCCATTAATACATACCTAATAGAACTTTTCTGTTGGAACCGTCCAAGTTGGCGTACTCTATGCTTCGTGATCCCGCATCTGTCCAGTATATTGTTTCCGTTGAGTGATCGACCGCTAATCCATTAGGCCATGTCAGATTACTGCTAGCAATTTCAAATCGGTTCGTACCATCCATATTGGCGCGTTCTATTTTCGGTTTTTCTCCCCATTCAGACCAATACATGAATCCAGCTGACAAACAAAACAAACATTTTTGTAACTGGCATTAAGTTTGGAAAATTTCACTAGGACGAATTGAGGAAATTTGAATAGTTCTCTGAGAACATAACGTTTAGATAAACAATCGGAATTAACTAGACTGATATAGTGAGACAACACGAATTAAAAAGTGTCAAATGAATAGAAAGAACTTTTGAACTTTGAAAGAAAGAAAGTAAAGTAGAAATACTAGAAGGAATGCCCAAAGATATTGTTTTGTCTTCATTATTCCAAGAAACATTAAATGTTTATGAATAAGGATTAACTAAAGATACAAATTGAACAAAATAATGAAATATTGAACAACAAAACAGAAGTAATTAATATGAGCTGTAAACATAAAGTTTGTTATTAGGTATTGAAAAATTACATATTTTTTCAAATTATAAATAATTGATTAAGAAGACACAAGTAAAATAATAAATATGGGCAAACAGTCAAATTTGAAATTATCCATATTTAATATATATAATCTTGTATTTTTAATTTAATTCATTAAATACTGTTTCAACTGATTTTTGAATTTGGGAGCAATTTTAGTTTTTCTTATTTCTTCAGTATTATATTTATATATTATAATTCCATTAGGATAAATTGATTTCTGTCCAAAATTACATTTGAAATCACTAACTGATAATAATTGTTTGTTTGTGTTATGATTATGAATATTTTTGATTTATCTGTTATTGAATGATTGAATACAAATGTTTCGTTTGTTGTTGAGTACTATAATTTATATATGCATTTGATGGTTTCATTTGCTAAAGATTTCGAAGGTTTCATTGTGGATTTATTGGCTGATCACTACTGATCCTCAAGGATACAATAGAAATATAGTTTCTGATTGAATAGAATACCAATGGTTATTCTATTCAATCAATGACCTGTTTTATCCACGATACATTTTTATCGAAATACAATCTTAGGAATTTAATAAAATTGGTATAACTTACTAAACTGTTATTAATAAATATAAGTACAAACAGTTCAATAATCTTTCAGAAATAATCATACACGAAGATTTTTGGAAATTTAGAGTTGATTCATTCTCTTGGAGCCAACCTGAAATTGTTCCCATGTCTGTTTTTATATCATCATGAATTTTGTCGAAGTAATCCGAAGTAATTGTTGTATCATCAGCAAATAATTCACCTGGTCCCTTCAGAGGTAAAATTGTTGTTGAGTTGATGTATATCGAAAATAAGAATAGACCAAGATGAGTTGCTTGCGGTACCCCAGAATTTATTTTTCTTATGGAACTTTTGTTGTCTATCACTCATATAATTAAGAATATTTCCTCTTATGGCAAAATTGTTCAGTTTTGAGATCGATGTATAATGATGTGCACTATCAAATTCTTTACACACATCTGAAGACAAGAGGTAACATTTTTTATTATTGTCAATTTCAGTTCGAATTTTTGAAATGTCATGCATTGCTTCTACCTCTGCACCTCTAGACCTTCGAAAATCATTCTGATCACCATAAAAAAGATTATTGTTTCCCAAATCATCAGTTAATCTTTTATGCATCAAAGAACCTGCAATTTTGGAAAAAAACTGAAAATAACGAGATTTGGTGCGAGTTGTAATTTTGTCATTCTTAATGGATCTTTTCACATAGCATCATGAGTCCATGGGGTAGAAAGAAAAAAATGAGTGTGGTTAGAAAAAGCTTCCCAGTGAACAATTGAGAGGATTCTGAACTCTGGAGAAAGAATCCAAAACAAACAATGCTCCCTCTCACCAGAACTGCAACAACCAAGTTGATATCAGAAGATGATTAAATGAATGAGATAATAAAATGGACAGGAATTACTGAGTAGAGAAGTGACATTATGTAACGCATGTGTGATCACAAGTTGATTTACTTATTAAACTATTTTTCTCAATTTATAAAAAAAAGAAAATTATTTTTTAATTTTTTGAAAAAAACACAGGGATTTTTTTCACACCGGAAGTGTTTATTTTTGCATGAGGAGTAAATATATGTTGAAAATTGAACATCTAGTACAGTCTAGTACTGTCACCTTCGAATTCAACAAATACTCATTATCATTTCGATTACTTTAGGTACTCTGCACTGGATCTTGCATTCACGCAAGATACGCTGATCTAATATAGAGGGAGGGGTTCAAGGTAACGCTTTCAATGTATTCAAGGTCATATGAGTCGAATGTCAAGGTCATGTGAAGTACACACAGCTCAAAGTCGCGTGACGTCATTTAAGGTCCAAAGTGATGGGGGTGGGAACTGGCATTAGTACCCTCGAATCTCAATGTCAACCTCCATATTCTAGGTTATATATCGTGCACATAGCTCAAGGGCGCATGACGTCATTCAAAGTCAAAAATGGTCCCAAGAATGATCCTTGAGGTACTCCGATATTCACTGTTTGGGCATCTGACTTCAATGAATCAACTACTACTGACTGACATACCGATAAATAGTTACGAATAAGCGCACAAGCTTCTTGAGAGAAACCATAATATAGAAGTTTATCACATAAAACATTACGATCAATAGTATCGAACGCCTTACTATAGTCTAGTAGAATCGTAAACTAGTTGGCCCTTATCAACTGAAGTGAGAATGTCATTGGGGATATTTAGTGAAGCCGTAGTGGTGCTATGAAATTTTCGGAAACCTGATTGAACTGAAGTTATAACGTTATTTTTTTCCACCGAATGCAATATTTCACTTTTTAAGATAAGCTCAAACACCTCAGAGAGAATCGGGAGTATGTTTATTGGCCTGAGGTGACCAAATCCTGTGGGATTTTTACGCTTTGGTATGGAAATCACGTTAGCCCGTTTCCAAGCCGGTGGATAACTCCTGTTGTATAACTTTTACTTTTAAATCAATACAAATTTGTTCTGAAGATTGGGACATTTGAGAAAAAATTAATTTGTAGTTTATGTTACTGTATATGTAGAAACCTACATATCCACCTCTGCCATTCCTATCTGCATGAATGAGAGTATAATTTCGTATGTTGAATATGTCTGAGCTTATATCATGATTGAGCCAGGTTTCTTATTGAGCAAATGGTAAATGAATTGTGCGAATCCTATTGATAATGACCTCAAATTCAAATATGCTATCTCAAACATAGTTTCACTTGACAAACTTTCATACAATCCAATACAATGTAAAAATGAAAGAATAAGAGAAATAAAAGACCTGAGCGATTCAGTAATCTTTTTAATTTTTTCAGATTCTTTCAGGGATTTCAAATCAATCTATATCCTATTAGATTAGACAATGGAAGTCCGAACTGATGAAGTATTACTCAGAGTGTTCTACCACTACGTAATATTAACAGACAAGCAAAGATTTAGAGAAATTGCTATTCATTTATATCAAGTCTGACCATTCCTCATAAAATATTCTATTTTTATATGGTTCGAACTGATAATTTCTGAACTAATATTCAGGGCCATGAATTGGACTTCGCTGGAAGCTCATTCAATTTTGAAATCTACGAAATTTTCTTTCATTTCGAGACAATTTTGAACTCGTTTTTTATATTATTTATTACTCTTGACACACTCCTTTGTTGTATTGTTGGTCGGTCGGTAGCCAAGCGGTTCGGCGTGGGTGATTTGTTCACTCACTCGAATTGACTGCCGTGTTGGTCGGTGGTTCAAGCCCTAGTCTGAACGATCGATCTTCACTTGCTATCGTCCAACCCGTGTTAGGAATCACACATTAAAAGGTAAGATCTCGTTAATCCTTAGCTCGACAAGTTTCGACTTCTGAGGGTTGTCGTTCTTAGAGGTGCGACAGTTGGTTAACGGAAAAACAGTTTTTTTTTAACAGAAAGCAGCCGAAGTAGAGGCAAGTATTGTTGAAAAAGTAAGTTTTTTTTATTTTAATAAACTTTCAGTGATATTAATGAAAATTCATCAAAATCATCGGTACAAATAGATGAATTGAATTTGCCACAAACAACAGTTTGGCGCAGTCTCAGGAAGCATACTTTTAAATGTTACAAAATTGAAACGATTCATAAATTATATTCAGGAGATCCCGAAAGATAAAGAAATTTCTGCAACTGCATAGACAAATCGTAAGAGATTTTTTTTGAATTACGTCATTTGGACCGATAAGAGTCGTTTCACAAATTGCGCTGGTCTCAGACCAATGGAAATAATTTCAGAGAAGTTCGTCCAAGTGCAATTTGGATTCAATGTATGGGCACGAATTTTTGATAATAAAATTCTTGGGCCATATATTTTCCAGGAGACATTGAATGGCGAATGTTATTTGCAATTGTTAAGGACCACCTTCACTGAATACCTCAAAGATATTCCAATAGGTAGGTTGAATGAAATCTGGTTTCAACATGACGGAGCTCATCCCCATTGTAGAAGAGAGGTTAATCAGTTTCTGAATACCACATTCAACAACAGATGGATAGCAAATAAAGGGCCAATAAGATGGCCTGCAAGATCACCAGATCTTACTATTTTGAATTATTTTCTATTGGGGACATTGAAAAATAAGATTTACGCTGGCAGAGAGATAGAAAATGTGGAAAACTTGAGGATTGAGGATTTTGAATGCTTTCGCAACAATGCAGCAAATAAGTGTATTAAGGGCAATAAATAATATGAAAAAACGAGTTTAAGAATATCTTGAAATGGAAGGACTCCAATTCGAACATTTATTGCGCCATACATTTTTTGTTTATATAAATTATTTCATTTCAATGTTCATTACAATTATAGTGTTCATTTCGGATGTTATTATTGCTATCATTTCTTTTTCTGCTTATCAAAACACATATAATCTATTCATTGTAGATATGTTTCAGATAATCATAAAAGCTTTTTTTCACCGAAGTTCATTGTAGAAAACGCTCAAATGGAAATGTGAAAAAATATGAAAAGGTACCAAAAAATGAAAAAAAAAACTCGAAAAACTTTACGGTACAAAGGAAGACGTGAATATTGCTATTGTGTTTTTATTCAACTAAGTCAACCAATTTCCAGGGCTGTAATTTAAAAGGGAATAATTCACCCAATTATAATAAAATAGTACCGAAACATACCAAAATATAACATTTAATTTAATTTCTCAGTATGAAGTGAACGTCGACGATTCAAAAACTACAACAAAAAATACAGGTCCGTATTTAAAAATTCAAAATGGGGGTGGCCCAAGTCGGATGATACCCTGTATAAAAGATTCATGGATATATTCTGATAGTCCACATCAAGTGCAAATAGCAAAATGCGGACAGATATTCAATATGTCTGTTAATAAAGAAGATACAGACAAAAAAATTATTTGTGATTTTTTTGTTTTTCCTGTATATCTCCAGAACTAAAAAAGCTATCACATCATTGAATAGGTCTCTAAATTACACAACTCAGCCACAATTCAATCGACACTCTATCTCTTATCGTTTACGAGATCCCCATGTACAGAAACGATTTTGAATAGCCCTGTATGAACGTTCAGTTCAGAAATTTCAACTAATTAGTAGTAGGAAATTAATCATATATGAACACAAAACAAATTCACGAAATGAATTTCCAGTGGTAGTACTTGCTAAAAAAATATCGTTTACCTTGCGGATCAACAACAATATCTCTTGGTTTATCGAGGTCTTCCCATATTAATAAAGACCGCATGGATCCATTGGTGTTGGCTACTTCGATTCTGTTAGTTCCTGCATCGGTCCAGTATATTTTATCTGTTGCCCAATCCAAAGATATACCAGCTGGGGATACTACAACAAATTTCATCCAGTATAGTCAGAGTTGTGTTGGTTTGAAAACTATTATAAAACTCACTTATATTGGAATGAATCAATACTTCCTGGAGAGAACCATTCCAGCATGCACGATTCAGAGAATTTCTTTCCACGTCTGTCCAATATATCCAGTCCGATTTCGAATCCCACGCGATGGCAACGGCTGATTTTATTCCATTCACCGGTATAACCTGCAATGAATAAACCATATAAAACGTTAGAATGAAGTGAATGGGAGATTTTGAATTCTAAAGAAAACTCAAATTATATTTTCATTTTATTTTCAAGTTGATATGGTCGCTTATAATATTTTATTTTTGTGTATAGACTATGAAACTATTTCTCAATTTTTTTCAAGAAAAAAACACAAGCACTTCAGAAAAATCCTTAGAGCGCTCTAAGAGCGGTGCCTGTGTGGAAATAGTGATTCACATTTGATTTGAATCGCTGGAGATTAAATCCATTTGGAAAAACGTTCTCCGAAAGTTTTTTCGACATAAACGCAGTTCGTCGCATGTTTCTGATATGTACCGTTCTCGGTGAAATCAAATGTGCCAAGTCACTTGAACATTTCCCGTGGAAGTATCTATAGAGAGACAAATTCCCAACGTTTCTTCGATGTTCCAGACTATCAAGGTTGCAAGTGATTCTGTGATGCACTGTTAGGAACCTTTGGGGTGATAATGAATATTACTGGAGTTTTTTCCAACACCAAACCGTTTTTTTAACACCTCTACACGTGTTTCGATCACTAAGTGAACATCTTCAAGAGGAAGATTGAATCTTCCTCGGGAAGATCAAATCGTGTGTCGATCACCAAGTGATCATCTTCAACAGGAAGATTTAATCTTCAAAAAAAAGATTCAATCTTCCTCTTGAAGATGATCACTTGGTGATTGAAACACGTGTCAAAGTGTTGAAATAACGGTTTGGGAAAAAACTTCAGTAATATTCGTTTCAAGTGATGTTCGCGTCACCAATCAGACGAATAGCTCTTTTCTGGAAGCTTCAGGGTATGCTTAGCGGCGGAGCTCCATACATGAGAACAATACTCCAAAGAAGGTCTGATCTGAGCATCAAAAGTGGCTGAGGTGTGAACACTTTTCTGGTTCAAAACAGTGTTCCAAGCTTTTTAGAAGTAGCCTTCGCAATTCCAGAGACATGATTGTGCTAAGACATATTGGTGTTCATTGTATCCCCCAACAAACTTTTGAAGCAGAAAGCGGAATTTTCTGACCTGGCATTATTATATCCGGTTCGGAGCCATTTATCTTTTTGGAGGAAACCGATGCCTGGGTTTTTGTGGCATTAAATTGAACCTTGTTACTTTCACCTCGATTCAAAAATAAATCCACTTCCTTATCAAGATATGCTGCCTCCTGCTGCCGGTGAAAATGTGCATCCGCAACCGATGTCCTATAATCCAAATGGACTGATGGGATAAGTGTGATGTCGTCAGCAAAGCAATATATTGAATTCTTGATATTTCCCAATAAGTCATTGATATACAATAACAACACCAGCGTTGATGGTAAAAGTAGGGAACGTTCATTCAGCCACACACAAGAATGATCTGACCAGCCATAGCCCATAGCATCAAAGTTTGGCCGACAAACCCTCGAACCACATACGGCCAAAGGCCTTAGAAATATCAAGGGCAACAGCTCTTGACTCTCCATGTTTCTTGATTGCGTTATTCCAAATATGGGTAACATACGATAGAAGGTCGGCTGTCGATCTTTGTTACCGAAAGCCATATTAATGATCGCTCAAGATGTTAAAACCTTCCAAATATTGAAGAAAATGTTGGTTTACATGTCTCCATGATTTTTGATATCACTGATAGTGAAGCGGCTGGTCTATTATAGTATATTACGAGTTGTTGACGAAGTATCTTTGGGTCTACTGATATAAGTGAATTGAATTGTGGTTTCAGTATAATTTCGAAATAGCGACCCGACTTGGATTCGCGTGACTAGTAGAGCATATATGCTACATTTTCATTCTTCATAGTGTTGCATCAGCTTGTAACTTTCCAATAGGATGATTAACTTGTAATAACTTTGGAAAAAATCATTACAAGTTAATCTATACTGACAGTTCTCCAAAATCATATATGGTCTTGTTATCACTAGGTAAAATCAAACATTGTATTAAGAGGTATAGAAACATAAGAAAACAAATCATTCAAACATTTACCCTCCCCAAAAAATCATGAATGCTCAAATCGTTTTGTTGTTTTCTGTAAGATATTTGATTACTGGTCAGTCGCATGGGACATTACGTGGCTAGCGAAATGTATGGTTGTACCAAAATAGTTTGAAAATAGAGTTTCTAGTTCAATCATTCCATAATTGTTCAGTGTTAGATATACCAGTTTCACCAAACATACTCTTCGTGTGATAACCTGCTGCATATCTTCCTGTTTCTTTCCTTCTTTGACTTCATTTTGATGCCTTTCTCCGTCCGGAATCAATTTCCACTAGTAGTTGTTTACAGCTGATTCTCGGCCTCCCCCCACCACTATGACGTATTAATTGCTTTTTTTATTGGTTGTTGTTTGGTGAAGTTTTTTT